TCCTACACTGATAGATTCATTTTCCAAATTCCAAATCTTTTTCTTAAGCCCCCGTAAGTACTTTTTCTTGGGACATCGTTTACAATTTCAACAAGTTTTCTTATGTAAGATAGTGAATATGTATATAGGCGTGGATCCAACTAATACGACTTTCTTAAAATGGAGATAGGAGTCCAGAATTCTAGCTATTTACATCAATAACTCATATTAATTAATTAAAATTTACATAGATTATATAATAATTAAATTATTATTATACTTAATTAAAAAATCATTTGATTGTCGTTAATTAAATATTTGATTGTCGTTAATCTGCAGCCGTTGTCAAGCGGTCAAATCAATCCATATATAATAAATGTAATATGCATATTTAGTTTATTCAATATATATATTAGGTAATACAAAATACATATTTAATTCAAACATAATGTATACTTAGTTGACGTAGTTGAGAACATAAAGACAATATGTTCTCATGATATTACTATCAATTTCATATTTTGACTACATATTTATTTATTCCAAATGCATATTTAGGCTCACACAATGCATACATAATGCATATTTAGTTGTTGAACAATGCATACTTAGTTGATACTTTGTTGCTGCAGTTAGTAAAGCTCCAAGATATTACTGTCAATTGCATATTTTGACTGCACATTTTGTTCATACAAAATGCATATTTAGTTCAAACATAGTGTATATTTAGCTCATGAATAGTACATACCTAGTTGATATCTATTGCATATTATTGTTGCACGTTAGTTCATGAAAAAATACATAATTTAGTTCATATTAATTGCATATTTCGAGTCTACACATTTAATTAATACACAAATCATATTTAATTTACACATAGTGTATATTACGATCAACGTCAACTGTCAACCCCAGAAGTCAACAATCAACTTCAACAGTCAACAATCATATTGTCAAATCAATATTAACTAATTAAAACATAATAAAAGATTAAATATTCTTTGTCACACATCTTGTTCTCTATTTAATGGCTATGATTAATTTTCACATTCCCATTTTAAGAATTGTGACTCATTTGATCTAATATATATATATATATAGTATATTAATTTTTTGCTTCTAATACTACCTTAAATTTTCTTGATCCAACTTTCGCATTGTGTTGGTCTTATCTTCAATTACTTGTCGTAAAATAATAGGCCCTTTTATTAGCTAGAGCGATACGTATTGTATTCTTTTTATTTGATAATATACATATTAAATTAGGCCGTAGCCCATTTTCAATGTATTACTCAACAGAAGTAGTGTTAGCTAAATAATAATATATTAATATGAACGTCCAATATTATTTTTTAATTCTATGGATTACATTAATTACAATTTTATTTTATTTTTTGGTACAATGTACAAAAAATTTAATTGTGTACAACAATGAGATTTATTTTTTAGATAGTAAAACTATAGTCTTTGTTAAAGAATAAAAAATATTTTCTTAATGTAAAATAATTGAATACAAGTTAATCGTATGAATTTTATTTCTTCTTCTGTTAGGATCCCAACCACGGCCAAGGGCAAGTGGCCGCCAGTTTGTTGTCACAACTTTCTTCCCTTCAATGTCTAATTGTCATGTGTTATCTAGGTTGCTTCTTAGAACTTGAAATTATCTCTTTCTCAAAGTCAAACCACTAAACTTCCACTTCTTCAATATGTATGGATACGATGTATGTGTAAAACATGATGTTTAATAAGCTTAGTTGATTACATATGATTATAAAATGTCATAAGGGTTCGATTTTGTTTAACAGCGTATATAGCCATCAAATCACCAACACTGTTGCAAGTTTATAAATGAATATAAAAGGAATTTCTCATAGTCAAACTATCCAAGCGCAAATATGTCCTATAAATTAGTGCAACACATTATCTTTAATATTGTCATTTGCAAGGCATAAGCCATCTTTCTCATTTTTCCACTATAACATGGCTAAACTAAGTTTATTTCTCATCTTCTTCCTTCTCTTTACCATCACGAAGCCCGACTTCCATGCAATCGAAGCCCGATCACTATATAAGATGTCGGGATGGCAATTGAGTGAACCATATTCCCAATCGTCTAAAAAGAAGATTTTCAACTACAGCTCGAGCCTTAGTGTTGGACATAAATCTCAAAATCTTAAGAAATCGTTGAACTATGAAGTTGATAAATCTGGGCCGAGCCCAGGTGATGGGCATAGAACAGTCAACTTGAGTCCAAGTGTATTGAAAAAGTGAGCTACGTGGTTATGCTTTTTGTTGGTGAGGATGTTCAATTGAAGATTTTTATGATAGTGTAGTTGCATTGTTGACGAAGGCATGCACGGTCTTAATAAATAATTTGCCGCTATGCAATAGTATACATATACTGTACTATATACATTTGATTGATTACGTCCATATATAAGGCACAAAATGTAGCATATACAGGGTATGAATAACCAAATTTCCCAAATACTTTTGTATTTAAAATTGTAAAATATACCTTGCTATATTTAATACAAAGATTTTGCAATTACTAAAATTGTAAAATATACCTTGCTATATTTAATACAAAGATTTTGCAATTACTTTTAATAATATAGTACAAATAAATAATCAGGTCGATAGGTGAAAGAGATTGAAAATATTAGTTTGTGGGACGACGAATTGCCTAAAAATCAAATAACAGTGTTGCGGACAATGAGATTTAGTAATATATATGTTTCTTTCATCTCGAACTTTTATAATAGGATAAGTGCCATGTGCATGATAACGTTTATTGTCAAATAACTTTTAATTTATAAAGTCGCAAAAATAAATATATCTGTGTGGTACACAAAAAGACTTCCGACTTAGATATGGCCAAGGGCTGCCCGGCCCGGACCCTGCACAAACCCGGCCTGGTCAAATCCGTTGACCACGGGTCCGGGACCGGCCCGAATTTTAGACGGGCTGTGTAAGAGTCATACATTTCATGACCCGGCCCGGCAGGTCCGGGCCGGGCCAAGTCGACGACCCTCTTTTTCTATTTTTTTTTTATTTTTTTCTATTATTTTTTAAAAGTAACGGACCCGACCAGGACCGGGCACGAACCCGGCACGAGTATAGATCCGTGCCGGTTCAGGGTCACTATTTTCGAGCCTGCCCGCCGCGGGTCAGGTTTTGGCCATGTCTACTCCGACTAGCTGAAAATCGGCCTGACTTGAGCTCGATCCTCGTCTTTTGAACGTTTTTAGATCCGAAAAAACTCTCACACCGAAGGAGTTTTTCGGTGAAAAGTCTCTGATGCTTAAGTTAGCACTTATAAAAGATGAAGCGTCGTATATGTGTATGGAATAATGGAGAATGTAATGTGATAATGGACAAGCTCACTCCCTTTAATAGGGAGATGATACCTTGTTGCTTAAGATTGCCCGAGTGGGCTGCCTAAACTGTCTGTTCGTACTGCCCGAACTGCCTCATCGGCCCGAACTTCTCAATTCTATTAGGCCGCGTGGCCCTATCCACGTGGGGTTCTTATCATATTAAGATTCCTTATTATCCTTAGTCTTTCGTATTAAACTGTCTAATCACGTGACCAGCTCGAGCTTTGCTGAGGTAGAATGTTGTCAGTTCTAAGCCTAAGTGTTGTCCTTCTAGTCGATGACACGACCACCCTTACCTACTAGTCGAGTTTCTAATAGGTCATCCGAGGGCCCTAGCTCAACATGTCGTCGTCCCTTTGAACCCCTCACATCCTCTCTTGATTTGAAGACTTCTCGTCGATGCTCGACCTTTGTGTCGCTCTGCTTCGACCAATTGGTTCGTTCGACTTAGTTGGCCAGTTTATTGGGTTTGCTCTTCCGAAAGTGGTATCCCATATCATCTGGTTCCCCCTCCCCCCTACCCCAACTCTGATCGAGTTAGGATAACTCAGTTTAAGAGTAGATTCTTACCTTTGGTCTTGGTTGATGAATTCCGACTCTTGATTCTCGACCTGCCTGTTTGCCTTTTCCTCAATTCTACCACATAAATTTTAACCTCCCCTCTAGTCTCGAATTTGAATTTCAAAATTCAAATCACTGCTATCTTGTAAGATCCCATCAATCAATACATTTGACTGACGTTACCATGCACTCCATAAAAGTGGATAAAATTGTGATGTAATGTTGACAATATGAATTTAACATTTTTTTAAATGATCGGGAGTTAAAAGTGAAAAAAAAAAGAAAAAAAAAAGTAAAAACTAAAAACCCGTTAAATATTACTGTAAAATCATATATGATAAATCAATCATTAGTTATTCTTTATCCACTTATTATTATTTTGTTACTTTTGAATCATATGAATTTTAATTACTATTTTTCTTTTATCAATTTTTTTTATTTATTTTTTCTTATTAAAATATTTTTACTGGTAAAATAAACATTTTTTGAATACTTGTATAATTTTTGTTAAAATTATTATTTATTTTTTTACACAATCTCATTTATGTAATAAAAAATAAAAGTCAATTATTCTTACATTTAAAAAAACAAACTTATATTCGTTTATTCACTTTTATTTCCTTTTTTCAATAACTCTATTTTGAATTGACAACATTTTCATAAAAATTCCATATTTAGTAATCTAGGCTGTAATTAAACAAACGAAAAAGTTTTTCTAATCTTTATTATGAACAGAATTGTTTTAAAAAAAGTTTCATATCCAACCTAAATCCCTAAAGATGGCGGATCAATTTCTCGTCCGGCAATTTCTCCGCCGGTGGCGCCCAAGCACCGCCGCGTCCAGCTTAAGAGGAACTTACCACCAGAAATATGCTTACGCCTCCACCAGTGAGAAAAACTGCGAAGAGGAAAAGGATTGTAATCAATGGCTGATCTTGCCTTCTTTCAACCCCGCCGCCGATGGTACTTCAATCGGGAAGCAGCTCCACTGCCGGAAGGCCTACGCCAACATGACTTCGAGTAAGTGGATTCATAAATGCTGCCCTGAACTCCCAAGGTCTCTGGTTCAGAAACTCTTCCGCCTGAGACAGGTCTTTTCCTTGGTCACACTGAACTGTGAACACTCAAACAGCCGCTAAACATGCTTAACTGTTTAAATAGATTTTTCTACTTCGTTTGAGTTGCTCCCTGAGAAGAAAAAAAATATTGGCCTCTAGAGATAATTCCCAGTACATTATTTCTATTCGCATGAGAGTGATGGGGAAGCTACAGATTAATGATTGCTCAAGGAATGTATATCCGTTAAAATTGTGAATTCTTCTTACTTTCTGAGTGTTACAAATAATGTGCACCGCCAAAATCTCAAATTTGCCAAATTTTCTTTGTATTTTTTTTTTTTTTAATTCAAAAAGGCGAGTAATTTAACTAGTGTTGTTTTGTTAGCTCTTATGCTGTATATAGTTGGGGAAGGCATGAAAAAGTAATGAATATTGTGACAGACTTTTTCATTTCTCTCATTTGTTTCATGATAACAAATCTGTTTGTGCATGATTATTGATTCTGTTTGATAGCCAATGAGACAACATTACCTTAAATGACCTATATAGCTGACTGACCACAATTACCAGTTTCATATTGTACATGCCCAACAATTTTTTCAAACTAAGCAGATTTGTGCATGTTGAACAATGACGTCTTTTGCTTGCTCGTCCTTTGATTGCTTCAGGTTCGAAAAGAGGTCTCCAGTGCTGAAAGTAACCAAAAACAACAAAAAAGGGTAAAATAACTGTTCCCTTTTTACAATACTTTACATCAATTTTGTCTCATTCGGCAATACCAGTGGTTAATATATTTTAGCTAATGGTTTCTAAAGGTAGGAGCTAAAGACTTAATGAACATTGGTGACAAAATATTGCTCCCTAAATCTGTTCATGTCAAGTTCCCGTCAAAAACAGTGGAGAGTCGGAGTTTTCTCACTGAAGAAGAATCGGAATTTATCTGTAGCCTTGAGTTGTATAAGGTATTGAGATTGGAAATAATAATTGGCATCTTAAGTAGCAAGGTTGCTATTTTCAGTTGGTGTCATATATTCTTGGAGGAACGCTTAATCTTCCCATTTGCATGATTTTAGGATCCAGCCATAATTGTCCTCAATAAACCACCTGGAATGCCTGTGCAGGTAGATGTAGATCATGACTGCTTTTATTTGATTGCAGTAAATGTTTTCCCTCTCATCTTCTACAAAATTCTTCCCAGGGTGGACTTGGGATAAAGAGAAGCTTAGATGAATTGGCTGCCAAGTATTTGAAATATGATCATTCCGAGCCTCCTCGTCTGGTGAGCTCTAGAAGTTTGAGTCAATGTTCACTTTGACTTTACATATATTAAACTTGTTAGTTCTTCTAGAAGGTAACATTGGGGATGCTTTTTTGTAGGTGCATAGACTTGATAGAGACAGCAGTGGTCTCTTATTGATGGGGAGGACACAATTGAGCACCACCGTCCTGCATTCCATTTTTCATGAGAAAACACTGGAAGCATCAAATGATGTGTGAATTCTTTTCCTCCAACAGTACATTTCTTTGTGTTGTTGATTAGTAGTTCATGTTCTATTAGCTTCTAGATATACGACTCTTAAAATTACATTTCGATATCTAATAGAAGCTTCATCACTGACTCATCACAATCGTATAGCTTCCTGTCAGAGACAGAGTCCTGCAGAAAAAGTATTATGCTCTAGTTATTGGATGTCCAAGACGTCGAGAAGGATTAATTTCTGTGCCGTTAATGAAGGTTTATTTTCCCTCTGCATCTCCGAGTACTTTTAAGCAGTGTTCAATTCTCTTTGATTTGTCGGTGCTCTATTTCTTTGTATCTTCTCACTTACACCGTTATTTTGGTGTACATAGTTAAATAGTTATTAGTTGGTCGAATATATCTTTTGGCAAAAGCTTTATGGTTTATAGAATTAGATGGTATCAAGTCATGTATTTATTTTTTTTCCTTTAAATGGCTTAAATTTGAAATACTCGATATATGAGTATAAGATTCGTCTATGCCTGAAAACTCTAATGCTTTCTGGCCTCATATTTTGCATGAGCTGGCCTATCTTTGATGCTGTCTCATTAATCAGTATGTACCTATAAAACATGAACGTTGCCAAAAAAATCTTTTTTTTTTTTTTTTCCTGAATTACATTTATGCTTGCTTGATTGGCTTTCTCCATTATCATATTATGATATTTTTGTTATTTTTTTTTCGCCATACAGTTGATGTCCTGGTTTCTTTATTTCTTTGCTCCTATTAATTAGGTTATAGTTGACAATGGGAAATCTGAGAGAATTACAGTAGTTGACAATAACCACTCATTGTCAGTGCAGCATTCGGTGACAGAATACAGAGTGATTGCATCGTCACATGGTTTGTTTCTAAAAATTGTGTCAGCTTCTATAATTTATCCCGAAAATTTCATTTTTTTTTTCTTGTTTGATCTTCTATTCCAGGATGCATTATTGTTATGTGTCAGAAACTGCATGACCAATAAAATTTATGAGTTTTTGTTCATCTTCTATTTACCCCTTCCATCACATGTAACTTATTCTTGTTCAGCCCTCAGATTGGTCATTATTATGTGGAGACATGATAAGTGCATCATATTGTTGCTTAAAAGGAGGGGGCAAAAGCATCACTAAATGTTTTAGGGACTTTTGCATTAGACTTTTGTGTTTCTTCAAATTCTATGGGCTAGCCGATGGTTCTGGAAAGAAGAGACGACTGGCGAGTTACATTATTATTTTTTTATTAACTTAAAAAAAAAATTAAAATCTATCAAGGCATCATTTAGCACATTTTGCTCAGGGCCTTATAAAATTCAGGACCGGCTATGGAGACGAGCCAAATGAACTTTTATTTTGATTGTCTGTGTACATGTGATGTAGCCCTTTTGTTGCATACTATGTGAAAGGTACGTGAGATATTACCTGCCTCTGTGGTGCAGTGAAGCTTTATGGATCATCTATTGTGTTTATTGATAACATTGAAAATATGATGTGATCTTTTCTTGTTTGCTGAAAAGTGGTTCATTGCAGGTTATTCATGGTTAGAGTTAATACCGTTTACTGGAAGAAAGCACCAGGTTTTATGACATCTTCATTTGGCATAAAGCCTCCTTTACTTTAGGGATGATTGCAAAAATAACCCTTGATATTTTTGGCATAATTGAAAAAATAAAAAACAAAAAGAGTTGAACAAATATGTTTCAGAGTTGTAAATATCACCTTAAGGTAGTATCATTACTTTCTAATTATTCTCAGATTTACTTTTGTAACCATTCCTTTATATTACAAGTTTCATTTTTTTTATTAAAGGGTTGGTCTAATAAGGATACTAATACTGCCTGTCATGATTAATAGCTTCGCGTTCACTGTGCTGAAGTCTTGGGAACACCAATCGTTGGAGACTATAAATATGGGTGGCAAGCTCACAAGAAACTAGGACAATTCACAGAATCTGCTTCGGATTTTAAACGGGATCACAAAATGACCAAAATCAAACACGATTCTATTGGATTCGAGTTGGAGGGTGGAAGCATATCTGATAAGCAGCCATTTCTTCATCTTCACTGTAAAGAAATGGTTTTGCCCAATATATCACAGGCCTTGCAACATGGTCACATGATTTCCGATGTCAATTATGCTCGAATTGAGAGTATAAAATTAGATGCTCCTTTGCCGGCACACATGCAGAGAAGCTGGGACTCACTAAATTAGTATCTTAGTTCGACCACAATGGGAACATTGTACGGGCCTATTGAGTTGTGTAACTTGTATTTGAGTTTCAGGTTACCAATTTTATGAAGAGTTGTTTCTATATCTGGGACTTTGGAAAAGAATGTGGCAGTCAGATCATAAAATGAAACTATAGGAAAGGTTCGCAAGTGCATCAGTAAAGAATGTGTTGGCAGATCATAAAACGACCGTAGAGAAGTTCCCAAATATATGGGGTTTTTTTTTTTTCAAAGATAAAGAAATAAATACATTTCACTCAATAGGAGTACAAAAGTTAACCGAATGGTTAAGCAACGCAAATCCTCTTACAAAGGTACTAATGAGGAAAAGCTACATGAACTTAAAAGAAATTAGATTTCCTACAACACTTTTGGTCAAAGCACCAACAACAACATCCACATTCTAACAAAGCCGAAGGAAACAGAAACAAAATTAGACAACAAGTAGTTAATATCTTCGGGCGCTGTGGACCTTGAAAGACATTATCTAAATGGTTTTGACAAGGTGGAGATTAATGTCCTATCAGGTACCAAGCAGCACCAAGCAGCAAACAGAAGACCAGCCAAGGGACAAGATCATTGCAGACCCATCTCACAGCCCACAACTTTGCATCAAAAAGATCACCACTGAAAGATAGAGCAGTTGTCCAATCTTGAACTATCACCTCCTCATGCCAAGCTCTGCAGCCCAAACCAAGTTTCCCACATGAAGAGATCCAAGTTGTCCTACCTGTAACGAAAATCTCTCACTAATCCCCCTCAAGCCATCTCCTAATTCCAGCCTATTTGTTAACAGATGAGCAGGATAGAAATGCAAGCCATTCAGATTTAGACCCTGACACAATAGTTCTTACATCTTTCCACTCCTTACTGAACAACCATAAGAATCTTGTCTTCCAAAGCCACCACAATAGATACACTGATAAGCTTACCCTATCCTTCATGGCATTATCATCCTTAGCATTACAAAGTTCCTGCCACCAAACCTTAAATTTGCAATCAAAGTGTTAGACATTGTCCCAATGAACCCCAATATCAGTTTCCAGCATGTCAGAGCTCTAGTACAGTGAAATATGATATGTTCCAAGTCTTCAGCAGTCTCCACAAATATGAGAGATGGTATCAACTTCCAACCCTCTTTTGACTAGCTGATCATTAGTGCTAAGGTAACCATACCAGCATCTCCACATAAAGATCTTTAATTTCTGTTTGATAGGAAGTTTCCAGGTCACCTGCCACATCTTATGAATTCTGCTTCTGTTGGATATTTCTTGTTGAAATACACACGGGATACCTACAAACTGAAATATATTAGATAAATACAATATATATATAACCGAAAATAAATTACAACTGTAAAACAAAATTAAAACAGAAAGATTTTAAGCCGAGGGAAGAAGAATACGCCCCGTGGGGCTGCTAACGGTTCAGGCGTAACTTCCCCAAAGATACAACGGCAAACGTCTCTAAATCTGTAGCACACCAGATTTACGAGCTCCGGCGAGCTGGATTGAAGTTGAGAATTGAGCACATAAAAATAGTAATTAAATTATCTCTCTGATAATTTTTCTCTATTTTTATCACAAATATTTTTATCCCTCAACCATCCTCTTGGACTGATTTTCTTTCATTTCCTTTATTTTTTCTTTCTTTTCTCTCTCTTCCCTTTCTTTTCTTTCTTCTCTGCCGTGCCTTTCTCCTCATTTCAGCACTCATATTTATACTTGGATGAATTGGAAATATGGTGTAATTAGTTGGCAATTGGTTGAGGATAGTTGAGAGGTGGGTGATGATGGTTGAGGTGGTTAATATACACTCATATTTTTCTAACAATTCACTCCATGAGTATAAATTAAATATATATACTATTGTGCTCAAAACTTTATTGCATCAGAAAATGTAGTTTTTAGCTTTGAACCTTTCTTAGTAAACATCATCAGATGCACTGGCGGACTAGTGGACATGATGCCTTGAACTATTCCTCCGTAGTGTACACCTAGACAATGACATTTACACAATAGAGTTTTCACTCCATTTCGTTCTATCGTTGTGTTCGTTTTGGCCATGGACAACACAATAGATTCATAAGTGTTTACATTTGAAGCGGTCCACACTTCACACTTATATAGGTGACCTCCCTATCAAGAGTATCTTGTCATACTCCACCTTTATAAGGTTAGAGATTCATTAAAAGTCCATATGACTTACCCTCACCACAATCAACAGATCATCTTGCACTTGGAGTGCTCTAGGGAATAGCTTTGGACATTCATATGTTCCAAGTGCTTAACTGAATTTTCACAGCTTAGTTTTCCCATTGAACCAAGTTCGTGGGATCTCCACTCAGCATGGTAGGGTTACCACTATGATCATTCTTTACATTGTGGATTTTTAAGCCAATTCCTTCTAGCAAACTTCCCTATTGATCACTATTCAATCCTTTCGTCAAAGGATCAGCCAAATTTTCTTTAGACTTCACATAGTCAATGGAAATAATACCATTTGTGATCAATTGGCATATGGTATTATGTCTACTACGAATATGTCTAGACTTACCGTTATACAAATTGCTTTGTGCCCTATCTATAGCAGCTTGGTTATCAGGGTGAATCATCACAGGCGGCAAAATTTTATTCCAACATGGAATATCGGATAAAAAATTTCTAAGCCACTCGGCTTCTTCACCAGCTTTATCTAAAGCGATGAACTCCGATTCCATCGTTGACCGAGCTATACACGTTTGTTTTGTGGATTTCCACGAAACAGCACCTCCTCCAATACAGAAAACATATCCGCTATTGGAGTGAGTATCTCTCGAATCCGATATCCAGCTTGCATCAACGTACCCTTCAAGTATGGCTGAATATCTCGAGCATTTTAGCCTGTATTCAAGGTTATACTTCAAGTACTTAAGTACCCTTTTCAAAGCATTTCAATTCTCATGACTGGGATTGCTCGTAAATCTGCTCAACTTATTCACCGGATAGGCCAAGTCTGGTCGTGTACAATTCATCAAGTACATCAGACTCCCTATTATCCGTGAATATTCCAACTGAGCCACTGGTTGACCTTTATTGGCTACCAGATTTATACTATGATCAAGGGGTGTCTTACATATACGCCTAGACTGTGCACCGTCATAGGCATCAAATTTCTTGGGCACTTTCTCTACATAATGAGATTGTGAGAAGACAATTAAATCTTGGGTTTTGATAATCCTTATTCCAAGAATAACATCCGCCAAACCCATATCTTTCATGTCGAAGTTTCTGTTCAACATTCTTTTCGTATTCGTGATCACTTCATGACTACACCCAATGATCAAGATATCATCTACATATAGACATAGAATCAAAAATGTATTTTGATGTATCGACTTCTTTCCAGAAGTTAGCTTCAGCACTATAGTGCCAACTCCAGCCACATCAGACGTGGAGGAGTTTCCCATGTGAAATTCCCGACCCGTAGCAGGAGTGTATTCAGAGAACACCTCCTTATCGGAACACACATAACGAGTGACACCAGTATCGATGTACCACTCCTTTGTGTTATCCACCATAATGGCTTCAAACACCACAGCCGACATATCAAAGTCGGTCTTTTCACCGAACGGCAATTTATCGATAACAGCCACAAATTGAAATGACTCACTCAGAGATATTCCTTCAGTATGAATATCATGCAAAATGAGTTTGAACTCTTGCACTTAAGACACGACGGTCTTAGGTTTAACATTTTAAAGTCAATAAATTTACCGACGATGAATTTCTTCGCCCCGGCATCCTCACTCTTGTACTTCTTCTCCAAAGCAGGCCAAAGCTCTTTGGCAGAAACAACCAAGATGTACACATTGGACAACTCATCACTAAGTCCGTTCAGGACATAGTTACGGCAAAGGTAATCACCTTGCCCCCAAGCCTCGTACGGATCGCGTATTTCGGCATTGGTTCAATTTTCAGCAATGACTGGAGGGTCGTCCTTCAGGTACTTCACCAAACTTAAAGTGGTTTGGTAAAAGTGCATCTTCTGCCGCCACTTCTTGAAATCAAGCCCGTTAAATTTTTTGAGCTTCTCAGTAGTGGGAATATTGATAGCAGGCACATGATGATTATAAACACCGTGGTTATTCATCTTCGAGTTTGTGAACCATTTCCGGTGGATGCCATCAGTTCAGTAGGTCTCAATATTCTTCTTGCGATTGTTGGATATTTCTTGTTGAAATACACACGGGATACCTATGAACTGAAATATATTAGATATATATATATATATATATTACCGGAAATAAATTACAACTGTAAAACAAAATTAAAACATAAAGATTTTAAACCGAGGCGAGTAAAACTCTTTCCGCAAGAAGAATAAGCCCCGTGTGGCTGCTAACGGTTCATGCGTAACTTCCCCAAAGATACCACGGCAAACGTCTCTAAATCTGTAGCACACCAGATTTACGAGCTCCGGCGAACTGGATTGGAGTTGAGAATTGAGCACATAAAAATAGTAATTAAATTATCTCTCTGATAATTTTTCTCTATTTTTATCACAAATATTTTTATCCCTCAACCATCCTCTTGGACTGATTTTCTTTCCTTTCCTTTATTTTTTCTTTCTTTTCTCTCTCTTCCCTTTCTTTTCTTTCTTCTCTGCCGTGCCTTTCTCCTTATTTCAGCACTCATATTTATACTTGGATGAATTGAAAATTTGGTGTAATTAGTTGGCAATTGGTTGTGAATAGTTGAGAGGTGGGTGATGATGGTTGAGGTGGTTAATCTACACTCACATTTTTCTAACAGCTTCTAGAGGAGCTGGCTCTGCCCCTAAGTACACTGGCTTTCTTCTTTGATATGATGAGTTGGTAAGCTAATTTGACTGTGAACTTGCCATCCTTGGTCTATGTCCAAATAAATTTATCCTTCAATCCTACCTGAATAATGGGGATTTTGAGAATGGTTAAGGCATCTAGGGGGTAAAAAGTTTGAAGAACAAGATCCCTATCCCACTCTTTCCTTCCCTCAAGGATAGATGGATGGATGTTATAGAGCTTGAATGTTTGTTCTTATATCGTAATTTTTTTTTTTTGTATTTGTATAATACATTTTGTATCATTTTTCATTTTATAAGCATACACTTGGAATCAAGCGTGGTAGCTAAAATAATTAGAATATAAACTCTTCTTTATTTATTTAAACAAATGTCATTAAACACTGTAAACCTAATGATAAAAATATATACAATTATAAATTAAACATATAAAATAAATAAAAATTATATATTAATTAAACCGGTTCGACCGGTTTGACCACTGGTCCGACCAGTGAACCATTGAACCGGTAGCTTCACCGATTCGATGACCGGTTCGGTTGTCAGAACCTTGATATTTATATATCATTTTATTATTATTTATGTAAACTAAATAATATTGCATTACCGTTTTTTATTAATTTATGGTAATCAAAGTTTCTCAGAACTGGACCATCGAACCGATCAGGTTATTTATTCTATACATTATTAGTTGGACCAGAATTTAATATACTAATATTAATTAGTATTTTATTTAAATATGTAAATTTATTCATATAGAATGTAATTTTAAATGTTACATTTTTTTTTAATCATACAAATTCTACCAGTCCGAGCAACTGGCATTGATCAGTTTACAAACAATTATTTCATTCAAGCGAAGTGAACTGATCGATAAATTGGTTTGCGGTCCACTCGGTTAGAATATTCGGTCCGGTCTGATTTTAAAAACAATGAGTTAATTATGATTAATGTTATCTATATATTTAAATTATAAACACCGTGTATCGCACCACGTACTAGTTTTTAGATAAAATTCTACAAATATAAAAGTATATACTTATTAAAACTTTATCGAAGGGGATGGGGTAATCGCATTTCGCATCTAGTTTGGGAGTCAGCATCTTCAAATCTTGTTCATTTGCCCAATTCAATTCTCCCTCCCTTGATTGTCTATAATCTCTCTGTTAATCACCTATTTTTTAGGCAGTTTGATATCTGAAAAACCTAACTGCCATGGGAGAATATCGTCCCGTATCTGTTCATCTTGCTTTAGGCGGCGGTTCAGGTATAATTTACACTCAGTTGTAAGATTTTGATTTACATATGCAAAGGTTTTATAAAATATGTTGCTTTATTCTAGGAACGACCCTTTCCTGCATTTCCCTTATCATTTAGGTCTTTTCTTTCAGTTCTTATATTAACTAGGCATCATGGATAATTATTTGTTTCGTTTTTCTAATTTTATCGTGTTTATGCAGTTGCTGATGTGTTCTTGTGGAGAAAATGGCGCTGTAGCGTCACTTTTCTTGTGGGTTCAACTGCCCTTTGGATCCTATTCGAAATTGCTGGATACAATTTGCTATCCTTCATTGCAAACGTTTTGTTATTACTGGTCGCAATATTGTTTTTCTGGGCTAAATCTGCATCGCTTCTCAATAGGTTGAGTGATTTCTGGATTCATGTGTTCGTTGTGTGTATTTTTTCTGCTGTTGGGATGGGCTAATGGCTGATCTCTATGCTGTAATAATATGCCTCTCTTTGGAAATTTCTTAAAGTTCTTTATGGAAATCTATGTGTTTGTTGTTTCTTCATCTTAGTTAAGGGTATTGAAATGTGGTATATCTGGTTGGTTCTTGTATATCCTATTTTAATTATTAGAATATAATTTATTTTATTTTTTTATGCTGAAGTGTGTTGAATAATTAAATGAATGAGTACTGTATGTGATCTTAGACCTCTGCCACCTATTCCTAATCTTGAAGTTTCTGAGGAGACTGTCATAAAAGCTGCTGATGAGATGCGAGTTTGGGTAAACTATGGATTATCAATTGCTCATGATATTGCAATAGGTGGAAATTTGAAGCTCTTTTTTCAGGTATTGTGATTCATCAACTATTTGTTCATTTTTTATTTTTATTGGTGCTGTTATTATTATTTCATGCAAATCTAATTTTTGCCCCTATAACTGATTGAGGAGGAATACTTTGTGATGTGGTTTCCACTAATTAGGTTGCTATTGGCTTGTGGATCATTTCTTACATCGGAAGTTTCTTCAACTTTCTTACACTGCTTTATGTTGGTATGTCCTAATTTTCTGGAGTTTCATATATCTATATGATTATCTGTTTAGTTCTTATTGGAATTTAAAATATCTCTTTGTTGTTAAAACAGGTATTCTTCTGAGTTTGTCACTACCTTTGTTGTACGAAAAGTACCAAAATCCAATTGATGAAAAGCTCGGTGTTGTCTATGATATAGCTAAGGCGCAATACCGCAAAATTGATGATAATATACTGCAAAAGATTCCATTGCCCTCAAACAAGGAGAAGAAGACCAAGTAGCCTTATGGTATTCTTTTGCTTAGTATGTTTTTGGACCTTCTTAGTATTCAATTCTTTCTCACTTCCATATGAATCTGTTTTTCCGAAATTATCTGCCGGTGTGGATTTCATATGCTTGACAATGTCATTACTAACCAGTATATCGTTTATAGTTTTTTCCTTGCTGCAACATGCTGCAAATAAGTCAAGACCACTTGATATTTATCTCATATACAGTTCTTTTGGTGAGCAGATTATGTTTAGTTTCCCTGTGAATTGTGATGCATGCATATAAAAATGCATATATAAGAATACCAAGAACTGAAAGAACTATATGTTGTATGTGAAAGCACTGTTGTTTCCTTTTGTTTGGCAACATTTATATTTATTCTTCTTTTAGGCCTTATTTCAATGTTCTTGTTGCATTCAAGTGTCAATGTTCTGATAAGACTAAAACATCTAAATTAGAAATATTTGCTTCCACACTAGATTGTTCTAGTATAGAGCAATAAAAATGACAGTGCTATTGCTGGGTCATTGTTCATCGAGGCATGCGGCCTATGTATGTTAGAGGCATTATATGATATTTCTTCAAATTGCTTGTTGAAAGTGTGGTAGCAATGTCTGATGTTGACTTCTGTAGCGTGCTTCAGATTAGCAGCAGTGAAAATTGTGCAAGTAGACTTGTTCATCTGTATTGGTGCTTGATCAGGCCCCAAGACTTATTGATCTGTATTGCTGCTTGATCAGGCCCTAAAAGCAAATCATATGAACTAAGTTTTGATGCAAAAACGACAAATTGATTAAGTGATTTCAAAATTTCAATTTGTGTTGAGAGAATGCTTAAAGAGTTGGTGTGTAATTTGGATGCTGCTTTCTTTCGTTATTTCATTTTCTTAATTGTGTATATGTAGGGGCTTTTGAAGACGAATTGATTTGTTTCTGTTATGGTAGAAAATGTGTCCGATGACCTTACAACTATCAACTTCTCGATCCCTCAGATGTCTGTGATATTAACTAAGAAACGGGAAACTTTTGTGAGGGAACATGTCTTGATCTATTTGTTGCTTTGAGAAATAGAGTTTGAATTCAGCATTCTGAAATATTATCTTTGATTTTCAGTGTGTATTTCTTATATCTTCATTGATAGCATTTCAATTTGTCATGTCATAAGTGGGAGTCTCTTTTTTCCGTTTTCTCCTTTCGTTTTTAATTCCTCTTTCCAAACAGGTAAGATTTTACCGTTGGATTGATTTGACTATTGAGATCCAACAGTCATGATCCATCTAAATTGTCGTTAAGCCGAACCGGCGGGTCTCGANATCTGAAAAATATTCCTATAAATACTCTCATTTTTACACTAAATTCAACACCTTCTTCTATACTATCTCTTAAATACTCTCATCTCTCTCATTTGTTCTATAATTGTTGCGATTTTTTTTATATAAATTCTATTTAAGTTGCAAAAATGTCAAGTTTTCGTGGACTACCACCAAAGTGAAAAAATGTAGCTCTACAAGTGGTCATCCATTGTCGATGCCAACATTATACCCGAATCTTCTTCTTCTTCTTATTATTATTATTATTATTATTATTATTATTATTATTATTATTATTACTAGTAATCACCCGTGCGATGCACGGGAAAATTACTATCTATGTGCTTTTCAGAATGTAAATTTGTATATAAATTGTGTAATACTGCAATGATCATGATCATAAAAATAGACATATAAACATATAATTAAACTCACAACATCATATATTATTGAACACTTCCTTATATACAACATTATTTGTTTGATTCTTTGACACTTTCTTATAGGACATGGTTATGATATCATAAGAAAGCTAGACGGATTTGGTTTGATCTTTTGATTTTCGGTTGAGGTTTGAAATTTTGTAGTCGAAAAAGTTGATAACTGGAAATGAAGTTGGTTTTATATATCGATTTTGTTGTTTTATAGATGGATCTGGTCTAATATTTCGATTATAAGTCGAGATCTTTTAAATATGAAGTCGAACAATATGAAAACCAGAAAGGAAGTCATTCGTTTTTAAAATTGTCTTAAATATGAAATTGATTTTTTGTTTTTTAGCTTTTTCAAATTTTTTAACATATTCAAATGAAATGTGGTCTTGAACATTAAAACTCTCAAGAAATCTCTAAGGTAAGTGTTACTATAATATTGTCGTAGTTCATATTCGGACCTATTGATTTTCTTCTTGTTATTTGTTTAACCAATATCATTCTTGTCCCAAGTGATGAGCTATTTTAGGTTTGAGCATGCTATAAATTGTATTTTATAAAATAGTCCATGAATTGGTAAACACAACACGATTGGATTATGAAAATGTCTCATTTCATCTTTAGAGTTATGATTATCTCATCAGAAGGTGAGCTAAAAAAAAATAACAATTTCATCTTATTTTACTTTTTTTATTTTATTTTATTTTATTTTTTTTTAATCTACAACAGTACTAACCCAATTAAAAAAGTAAAATGTAAATATTGTTGTTTATTTTTCTTATAAAACATTACAGTGATTATTCTAGAATTTCAGTTAAAAGGTTTATGTGTTGACTATTGTAAACATCAAACCTCTGGACATGTGTGTAATTACCGAATAACATTGATTCATCGATCTTCTCGATATCATATTGTGATGTATCTTCTAAAATCGAAACAGAAAATTGGAAAGTCGCCTTTGTACCTTATGTGTTCAGTTCTACCCTGAATAAAATTAGCATGTATTGTGCAATGGTTGACCTATACATGGCAACATTAATCTCAACCTGATAGTTCTGAATTGCATAGACAACACCTTTGAATTCATTGACTAAACTTTGGATGTTTATTACTCTTATTATTCCTGAAATTCGACCCCCTGTGAAAAAAAAAGATGATATTAAAAATTAAAAGCAGGAAAAAATGAGAATGAGAATTGATTATTAAATTTGATTGTGAATCATACCTCAGTGTCATGAAAGACAATTGATTATTAAGTTTGATTGTGAATCATACCTCAGTGTCATGAAAGACAATTTCAACGATGTTCTTGTAGGATAAGTATTCATTACGCCTTTCAAAAATTCGAACCACTCTTAACTTAATCATATGCCTTTTGGTCCTAGCTTAATCATATGCCTTTTGGTCCTTGTTATTCGCTTGACGTTGTCCCCATGCTTTTGTCATTTTTCTGCTGGTATGTTAAATTGTTGAGGGTATGAAATGAGTTGTGGTAGGTGATGTTCTACGTTTGCAATTTATAGGAATGGGATAATTGGTTTTATATAATTAATTAATTAAATAATTTATAAAATGAGTTTGATAAACATCAAATTTTGATTTGATGATAAGATAAGGTTAAAGGTTTTGAATAATAAATTATTTGGTTTGGTTTTTTAGATTATTTGAGTATTACATGTACACGTGTGTCCTACTTAAAAGAATTTTTGTTATGAAATGTTTATATGTATATGCATAAGAATACCATAATTATGAGATTCAATTATTAAAAAATATATTTTATTGTATATATTTTAAGTGATGAGACTGTAAATTCAAATTAAAATTGAAAATCTGAAATTATGTCAGGATAAGTCTATCTATTTAATGTTAAATTATTTTGGGTTGTTTGTTTAGAATTTTTATTTGTGTGGAAACTTCATGTTAAGATTGTTTAAGTTAAGATTTCTTTTTCCGTGTAGAAAGATGATTAAAAATGACTAAGGGAATGTTCATGTATTTCCTCCTTAAATGAATCTCTGTTAGTATTATAGAGTGATATTCAAATAATAATATTATATTATAATATTGTTCAATATTAAGTATTTAGGTCTCTTATATTTATTATGTTGTTTAAACGTGTTGTTTAAATTATGATAAGATAAGTGTGCATGAATTAAATTCTAAATTATTTTGTTTATTTGTTTAGAAGTTTTATTAGTGTGAAAACTTCATGATAAGAATGGTGTTGAATGTTCATAGATGCATTTCTAACGTGTCCCAAAATATGTATATTTCTGTTACAATTTATATTCATAGCTGCACTGATTCAGATATCAAAATTTTTATTATTATTTTCTTCGTAAAATTCAATTTTTTTTTTGGAATTGTAACATTATTAATGTAATGTTATTATAATGTAATTTTTTTGGAATGAAATTTAGGTTCTATTTTATGAGGTTGTTATGTTTGTATTGGTCCGATTAAAACATGTATTTTTATAGTATTATTTAAATTTTTATTCAATGTAAAGTTATACAGGAAACCAAATTGAATGGTATTGTATCTTCAATGCACCTTTTAATTTATTTTTCATGTCAAAGACGTAGTATCATTACATTACATTTAAATGGAAATCAAGTGTTTTTTTTGTTGATGTAGACTCTGAATTGGATGTTATTAAACAACAAATTAATTCATTAAATTTATTAGTTATTTGTTAAAAAAGAAATTAAGTGTTTTTTGTTGAATGAAAATAAGTGCTCGTACTAATTAATTGGTGAAACATATTTCAAAATTTTGAAAGCCATGTATTTCGGTTTTTTTTATGCCTGTTACTCATTCTTTTAAAAAGTCTATATATAGTAAGTCAATTGTTTTATTTATTAGATCAAACTTTCTAAAAAAGATTTTAACAACAACTTTTATATATATATATATAGATTATTATTATTATTATTATTATTATCCTAAACATTATTATTATTATTATTATTATTATTATTATTATTATTATTATTATTATTATTATTATCCTAAACAATCAGCACCGGATTTAGACGAAAACTTGGATGAATGGTTTGCATCATTTAGTATCTAAAAAATGCTAGGATTGCAAAATGAAGGGGACTCAATATGATAAACTTGATCACTTCTTGACGTCGGATCTCAAACTTACTATTGCCAGACCACCGATTTTGTCACTCACATTCAATGTCTTGGATTGGTGGTTAAAAATGAGGTCCATTTATCATGTTTCATGCTTGATGTCCAAAGAGATTTTTGTTATTTCAACCTCAATTGTCGTAGTTGAACAAGCATTAAGGGAGAGATGATATACTCTAGATGCACGATGGTAGAGGTTAGTGTAATAGAACCTAGAATCTAAAATGCAGTTGAGTGATTGGAAGAAGACCGAAACTAGGGTACAAACGGCCATGGTAACTGAAGAGAATGATGAAAAGCCAGATAGTTTTACTAGTAATACTGAAACCAGCGCAACAATCGAAGGCGACGAGTATGACTACGCCTACAATTATTAGATTGTTTAACGCATCATGCCATCTTCTTCTATCAAGTTAAGTATGGTAAGCGAATAATGATGACTTTGATTCCTAAGAGCATCTTCAATGCATAAATGTTGTTATTACATAAATTTTGACAAATGTCATTTAATTAGATGGATTGTGGACCACATAAGATAATTGTTAGGTTCACAACTTTAATTCTAAAAAATTATCTCCAATGCATAATATGATCAAACACAATATTGTCTACTTGGCCAAAATAAATAATTTATAAATATGAAAAAAAATTAATTAAATGATTAGATATTTTGAAAATGATAATAATATTTCTCTCTTCTCTCCATTGGTTGGCTAAAATGTGAATGAGAATGTGGATGAACCACATTCGTTTCCACATTATAGACATTAATTATATCCACCTCATCACTACATTTGTGATAACATTGTGCATTGAAGGATTAAAAGTGAATAAATTGCTACATATGTTAATGTAGAGTGTAATTTACTACAACTACATTTAAGCATTGGAGATGCTCTAAGGTGAGAGACACGTAGGCAACTTAATTGACATATTATACGTTAACATATTATTTTTTAGCAAAAAATATTTTAACTTAATTGATATTTTAATTTATAATATGTCAACTAAGCTCGGCCTCCAATTCCTTAACTTTATTGATATATTTAACTTAAAATATTTAATTTTTTTGACTTGTTGGTGATCATTTTTCGTGAAATGGATTATTGATTTTTGCTCTTAAATCTCTATCTCTATCAACTGTTTCTTTGGTGTCTACATAAACACATAAATTTTTGACCTTATAGAAAATTCAGATTTTTTTTTTTCAGTTTTAAAATATTTTTTGACATAGGATATTTAGAAAAACATTTCTTTCTTTTTTCAATTTAAAATGATGGACTCCACTACTGTTTTATATTACTTCAACACTATTATTACCTTTTGTCACTTTGGATGAAAAATACGACTCGACAAAGTTAGTTTTATTGAGTCATTGTACAGGGAAATCTTTTACACTCTCCCCTATTTTTTTTTTCTTTTTTACCCTAAAACTCACGAAATAATATATGAATTGTTCATCACATATATACCAACACATATTAAAATCAGACGCATAATTAATAATTATGCGAAATATTTTTGAATATATATCTTGTACTTGATATTTAAATCTCCGAATAATTTAACATATGTGAGAAAGTTTTACATATTTAAATATTATATATCCAAATCGAACGTCGCATATTTTTTCGATTATGTGACATTTATTCGCATAGTTTATGACACGCATATCTAAATAGCGCTGACATTTTTTTACCGAAAACCAAGAATTGAACCGAACCGAAGATAAAATAAACTGAACCGTACCAACTCATTAATAACGATAACCGACTTGTTATCGGTTCAGTTCAGTTCCAAACCTATAAGGGTTCGATTAATATCAAACCGAACCGATTAGGATATTAAAAAAAAAAAAATTAGTAGGAATAAAGGACACTTTATATCCTTTAAAAAAAAAAGGTTTACTTTAATGGTATAGCTTATCAATTAAGTCAATAATGCCTTTTATGTTTACGTTTTATACGCTAATTAGCAGTTTTATTAGGCAATTAGTTTTTTCTTTTCTCTCTCTTCCATTATCCTCTGAGGGTACAACGAATGGTACCATATCTAGGCTTTGGGCCCTAGGGTCAATGAAAACATTATGCATTTGAGGGAATCTCCAGCCCCGTGTATGTCCATCCATGAAGTATACAATCCGAGGTGTGCGTCCAGATTCGAGGTGTCGCCATAAAGCCTGGGGTATTTTGATCTTTTTCGGTGATGGACTGCGTAGGATGTCGGATGATAGTGGTGAGGCCCTGTCCACAATACGGTCTGCGGCAAACATCGGAGGCGGCGAAGATGCTCTTTCCCCATATTTCTGCCGAGCTTCTAGCCCAACAATCCTTTTTCTGAGGATTGCTACCTCGTCATAGTCTCTCTTGGTGGATCAGTCCCTTATGATTTTATGCCTGAGATCCTGCTCGAGATTCTTCTTTCCCAGGCACGTGAAGATTGAGGGGTTATGAGACCTTTTTTTTGTGATTGGTGATCGATCTTCTCTCTTCGATCTCTTCCGTCCGAGCTTGGTTTGGGTTTTCTCTTATTTTTTTCTGCGCCGTCCGGAGACTGAGTTGCAGCCTTAGACTGGGCTGGGCCTTTGCCCCTGTCTCCGGCGAGATCATGTCCTTTTTTGTCAGCGTTTTCAGTAGGTCAGTCAACGACGGCGGTGGCGCTTGTGACACAGACGGCATGACACAGGCCATGAGATTTGTCATCCCTTTGAGGAATTCAAGGTCTTTGAACATCGACAAAAAGTCGAGAAGCAGCCGTGCGTGGTTGTTCTGTCGCCAGCGGCTGCGACTCGCTTTCCTCGCTTGATGAAACCATCGCTTTTTGTGGATTCGTGGTTTTATCACTGGTCAAAATTACTCAAGAACGGATGATAGAGCCCTCCTTCTAGCGCCAATCTGTTATTGTATGAAATACGCAACAACGAATTTAGGAAAATTTCTTAAGTAAAAATATAGTAAATAGTCAATGAGTTCGGATGATCCAAGTTTTATATAGTAAAGAACTCGGTTCTTCAATTACACTTGGAAGTTAGTTTTTTAGAGAGAGTAATCGAATATACTCTTATTACAATAAATGAGAGGTATTTATACTATGAGATCCACGGGTACGGTTCTCGATGCTCGCACGTTATCATTTGATGTGATTTGATGGTGACATGCGGCTCTACGGGGTGGGTCCCGCGCCTGATGATTGCTTTTCGTCAGGACGATGGACATTGGACACATGTCTTCTCCACATTAAATGTGCCGACAGAGGTCGGCCTCCAAGGACTTCTGGTCGGTTCCTTTATGGTGGAATAACCAGAGGCGGATTTAAGTATGTAATAGGGGGGCTATTGTCCCCCGAAAATTTTAATTTTTTTTTACTATATATTTTATATTTAAACATTTTACCAGAAATTTACTCTTTCTTACCATGTTTTATATACTATATATATTATAAGCATATCCAATTTATACATGTACCCCATAATCATTACTAGTTATTAGAATTATCTATGTACTAAGAATTTTTAGCTATACCATATTTTTGTGAGTAATTTTTCAATCTTTAAATATAATAGTTGTGGTTTTTTTTATAATATAGTGATTAATTAATGTACGAAATATGTAAAAAGGTGAAAATAAACAATTTTAAATAGGGGTTTGAAAAAAATTACAAGAATTAATTATTTGTATAAAGTCAATTGTTAATGAGTCCCGTGATTTGAAATAATGTCGAACACAAATTTAAAATATCAAACTCCAGTAATTATGTCTATTGTAGAATATTTTTATAATTTATGTCATCGAAATTAGAATGCAACTTTATGCCTTATATGCATATACAATATGATATTATTAAATATTGTATATTCCCTCTAGCTAGCGGTGTTATTGGAGTAGAGTTGAACATCTCATTATCAAGCTCGTGTTTGTTTAGTAAATGTGTTGGCTTGGCTTGACTCATTAATAACGAACAAAGATGTGAGTCTGAGCTCGATTCATTTAATAAGCAAATTTGATTTGTTGCTTGAGTTTTCACAGTCAATTCGAGATATATTTGCAAATAATTTGTTTCAAATGACAATTCTAGTCCCCTCCAAAAAAATTTCTAGATCCGTCCCTGAGAATAACCGAGTTCTTCACAGGATTAGCGTCGACACCAATATACTCTCTCCATGGTTTATCTCGTGGTTGCAGGCTGATCTTGATGCCAAGAGGTCAGGTCCCTCGTTCGGTCTCTGGTTTCATTCCGAGCTATTTCTTATATATTTGCTGAGTTGGGTCGGTTTATTTGGTTCGCCTTCAGGTCGAATGGTCATTCAATTTGCTCATCATGTTAATTAATTAAAGGGGCGCCAATTCGGATGTCAACATATATAATAATTACTGACTAATCGCAAAGTTACATTAAATAAAATTATATTGCAAAACTTTTTAAATTTATTTATTTAAAATGTTATTGCTTTTTTTTTTTAACTTATCGAGCAAGTTTTTTTTATTAAAGTTTGTTAATTATTTTTTATTTCATAACCAAATCCTTTAAAATTATGTACACAATTGTTATATTAAATTCGTCATTGTTCAAGTAAAAATTTTCTTGATATTGCTTTAAAACGTTCTGGATAGTGACACGTGTCAAAATATCTCATTTCTTCCTCACCTCCTAATTTTCTTCCTCCCTCTAATTGGCCACTGTTTGGCTTAAGGGTCTTCTCCACGTCTACCACACAGTGACGATAATGGCGGCCGTATCGCTAATTTCCCCCACGCTCTGCTGCTACTCCTCGTTCCGGGGTACAGTGGACTATAATGTTCTATTCCTAATCTATTCATTTTTCAGAAACTAAAATATCTGAAGTTCCAAGTACCGCAATTTTTGCTATTCTTGCAGATGTTCGTTTGTCCGGTGCCGCCAAAATTGCTTCATCTTCTCGCAGTTTAAGAACTCTGTTTGCCACTGGGTCTCCTCTCCGTTAGAATTCTCAACTCTTTCCTCAACTTTGTTTTTTACATTATCACATTTTGTGTGTAAATTCGGTGGTGTGACGAATTACCAATAGGTCAATTTATTTGCAATATTTTGAATAATCTTATGGAAGAGACTTAAGCCTCCAGCATTAGGCTCTGTAATTGTTTTTGAAATAGCATATTTGTTCAAAATCTGGTTTATGTTTGATTTCACCCATTGAATGAATCTTGCGAATCATATGAGAGTACTTACTGAGTTGATGAAAATATTTTGTTCAATTGCATGATTGTTTTTCTCCTTGGACATTTAATTTGGATATATCCAAAGGCAATTTTAGAAAATAGATTTCATAAACCATTAGTATTTTCAGGCCAAATGTTTCGGTATCTGCAAAGGTGGAGAGCCATATTCTTAATGATTAACACTTGTTTTCAGTGATTGATAGACCCATTTACCAGAAAAAAACTGCTCGCTACTCAAAATTAGTTTCCATAAGATGTGAACAGAGCAGCAAGAAAGGGAATGGTTTGGATATATGGCTTGGTCGGCTGGCTATGATTGGTTTTGCTGCCGCCATTAGTGTTGAAATTGGGACAGGCAAAGGACTCCTGGAGGTATGATGTTTGCATAATGCTTTCTTAAAGGCCATTAAGCATCCACAAATCAGTTTACTTTAAAATAAAAAATAAATAAAAATCAGTTTACTTTGCGTTTTGAATGATGGGGGTATACTTTTCGGTTGCCAAAAACCGGCTAAATATTGGCATCACTTGTTGCCAATGGTGTTGTCTGACTTTAGGCTTTGGTTTATAGTCATTTCATTCCAGTTAGCAAATGGCATGGCTAGAATACATTGTGATAAAGGAAGGACATAGGTTATATCCTTTTAATTACTAACGTGTAAGGGAACTAAAGGAAGACATCTGTCAAAGGTCTTGCGAGAAGAGAGTCAACTTTTGTTGCAGTGTTTCATTGTTCATGGTTGGTGACATAATGTCCTTGTTATTCTTAATTTACAAAACTTAAGTAGAACATTGCCCTTTAGTTTTTGATTCGTGGTTTTTTACACGACGATTATAGAGGTTTTTGAGTGATGAGGAAATCTACTCACTTTGAGTCTTTCTTACTTTAATCTCTCAAAGTATAAGCCCGACTAGCTCAGTCCGTAGAGCACAAGGCTCTTAACCTTGTGGTCGTGGGTTCAAGCCCCATGGTGGGCGCATGGATGGTTGTCCATTCTTTTTTTTTTTTTTTGGGTTCATTTTTATTGAGGTTTTCCTTCACATGGGACTAAGAGCGTCTATATTTTTTGCCTAATTATGTTGACTTTTGTTTTTGGAACTATAATAATGCCCTTTCTTTTCCTAATACTATTGGCAGAATTTTGGTTTCACATCACCTTTGCCAACAGTGGCCTTGGCGGTAACAGCATTGGTGGGAGTGTTAACTGCAGTCTTTATCTTCCAATCTGCATCCAAGAACTGATCCTTTTTGTTATCTTTGTGTGTGGTGTTGTACAACTACTTCATGTTTATCTTTATATTTTCTATTTTCCAAAACAATGTTTGATCATATTGACAGTGATGATCAAAGAAGCTCTTGCTGCTTTAATCTTTTATTCCACTATTCTCCAAATCCTATTTCATTGTAATACCAAAATTATGCTTGTGAGATAGAAGGTATTATATACACACTTTCCATTTGCTAGTCTATGCACACTCGTAATTTGCATAGTTTAAATCGACAAATCCACGAGGCCACTCAATAGTCAACACATGCGTTTGTCTCTATGTCTAATGAATAAGTGCAATCTGAAACACCACCACAGCTCAGTATCTCTCTGACAGGGGACAATCTTTGGCGGTTTAGGTATCCTATTACAAACCCGAAACGCTTAACCACAGCCCATTGAGTGACACCAAACTGTGGATAATTCTGGATGATAACTATATATTTTCAACCAAGAAAAAGGTCAAGGTTTAGAACCACAGCAAAGAGAACCAACTCTTGGGTCGTTGGTTCTTGCATTTGTATCCTGCCCCAGAACAGGCTCTAGGTAAAACTATGCCCAAAACTGGGTTATAAACTGAAGAAGTTTCCTTCATTGTAAATAACACATAATCTATGATGAGATGAGAATCCCATTTACACATCCCAGTCATAATTTCCTGCTATATTCATCGCATCACAATTGAACACACAGATAACTGGTATCGGAATTTACCAAGAGTTGGTATTTGAAGAGACGTCATAAAAAACAATAATTTAAATCTCCATCGACTGTAAGCCCTTTGACGATTTCTGTTTCAATTTTTTCTTTCTCGTTTTATCATCCTTTATCTTAGGCTTCGTGTCCACAGCAGGTTGTGTATTCTGCAAATGTTGATAAATGGCACCTAAAGGATCTGATTGAAAAATTGGATGATTTATAACAGTCTTCAGCTGGTTACCCTCTTTCAGCCTGAGAAACAATAGAGTGTGCACAATAAAGAACATAAGATAGAATAATTCCTAGTACTATTTAATTTGGTACTCACACTAACTTATTTCTTGTTTTACTATTGATTTTGAGTTCGGCAGGCTTCAACTCCGAGGGAGAATTTACTTCAGGTAGGTACTCAGAGAGGGATGATAGATCATAGGCCTTTAATCTCTTTTGACGGCTTCGCTTCTTTTGCTGCTTTTCCTGGTTGCGAAATATTACTTTGCTTTTAAGAAAAACAACGGCATAACCATACACAAACAAGATATGGGCAGCTATAAGAAACAGTTAGAGGCAAGACATTCTATCCCATTGTGTTCTTGAAAGTCAAAACCATTAGAAGCAAGACTAAGCCGAAATCATTATAGCCAAGTATATGCAGTGATTTTCCACCAATCAAGCTTCAACACGAACATGACAAAAATTCACAATAATCCACATCATGGATTTCAGGTAGCTGAAATAAATTAGAAACAGCCGCACAGATAATCTTGAAGGAAAAATTCGGCATCTTAAAGTGTGATCTTGGGGCAAGAATAATACCTTAGAAATAGCTTTCTTCGCAACTGCACTCCTGACCACTGGAAAAGCATAATAAAAACCAATTCAATATATTCATTTTTGTTGTTCTATAAACATAAAGAAAAGGTATACAGTTTTTAACTTTGATAAATCCATGAAAACATAAAAAAAAAGGAATAAATTAAACTTTCAAATATTACATGGGCGATGGTGCCATAAAAACGCATACGAAATTGATACTTGTAATAATTATTATCCACAAGCGGGTACCCAAGTGACAATGTGATTAAAATTTCAACAGTAATATTGTTTTCGTTTTGAATAAGTAACAGAAAATAAAAACTCTTGCAACAACAAAAGCAAACGCTTACAATCATAAAATTGCATTTTCTTGTCAAACCTGCGTTCCGCATGAGTCTTGTCATCCGATCTGAAAATTTCACGAGTTTAACCATGAGCATAGACCAATCAAAAACATTTCGACTTAAATTAATGTATTTGGCACAGGATATTTATCCCAAGTAATTTTACCGAGATCTGGTTTTCCCCATCAGCTGAATCTTGTTTTGTTACTCCGCTATTGTTGTCGTACATGAACAGAAATAAGAACACTTCGTGAAATTACAAATCCATATATAACCAAGATAGGGTTTAGAGTTTAGACAGGGATATAGCTCGAGTTTTCTAGCTTTCAAGTTTTCAGTGTAGATATAAAGTTGGGGCTGGTATTGGTTCGACAACCGAACCGATAACCAAAAACCGAAACCGAAACGATAGGTTTCGGTTTCACTAATTTTTAAACCGATAAAAACCGAAACCGCAGGCACAGTCCATACAATGACATAAGGAGCAGATCAATATACAAGTGGGATTAATAAATGTCTGGGGAAACACACTAATTGAACAAATACAGAGCACAATAACATCACAAAAAAAGACTAATAATCAGAAAATCAAAAGCAAAAGCACCAAAATGCATTTTATAAACAAACAACAGAACCCATTAGAAATTAGTAATAAAGAAACTTAAGCATAGAGTGTAAAATCTCATAATTCTGCAATAAACAATTAAACATAATGCAAAAGCAAAACCAAACCACAATAAAGATTAACAATCAATCACCAGCCTCAAAATTTTCCTTTTGAACTTTTTAGTATCATTGAGGCAGACACCAATGTCATAAGAAAATATAGTCCTGGTCTAATAAGCCTATACTCGTCATAAGCATTCAAAAGGCTGGAAACATTTGGTTGTATATAAATCTGGCATACATGCTCTAGGTCTCTACACATCTCAGTTCATCTCTTGTGGAGCAATGGTTTGTCAGCCAACATTCAAGTTCTAACACCAGTCACACCTCACACCACAACTTAATAAAATTAACAAATTGCAGGCATAAATACGGAATGCCAGCCCTAATTTTATTGCAGGCATAAGCATAAATACCATCCCTAATTTTACAAGAATGAGGTTGCAGCATAAATACCAACCGTAAATCGCAACTCCAACGACTGACAGAAGCAACTCCGACGAGCGATAGAAGCGGACGGGCAATCGCGGCTCCGACGAGTGACAGAAGCGGACGACCACTCGTGGCTCCAGTTGACAAATTGCGACCAGCCCCACGGCCCCTACCTACCCTTTCGGCTTTGGGAATGAACAGTCGAGCGCGAGATGAATCAGTGAACAATCGCGTTGAGAATTGAGGGGTGAAATTTGTGAATCGTCACTCTGATTCTGCCAAGGTGAAGGTGAATTTTTTTAACTAAATAAGATTAAATTATGTATTTAACTAATATTATTTTATTCAATCTATTAATATATAAAGAGAGAATGATAGTTTTTTGAAAAAATCATGTGGAAAATCAGCAAAAAAAAAACAGTGAAATTCCCGCCTAAATCTTAAATATAATGAGTAGAAATTTTTGGCGAAAATGAAAAATCCCGCCCACATGTACAAATTAGCATTTGAATTTTTTTGTTGCCTTATTTTTTGCTCAATTCTGCCTATTCCGTAGCATATTAAAGATATGGTGAGATTTTTTTGCCAATTATTTGTAGCTATCCTAATCCTAATACAAAAAAATAACCCAAAAATTATTTGAATCCCGCCCATATAAATACACTGACCCAACAACCAAAATTACAGCAAAAAAATTCTATCTATATACATATCATCTCCTCCTACATTTTTTTCTATGTTTCTTCTCTCTCTCTCTGATACGTTTTCTTATTCTTCTATTCTATTTTCTTTTTGTTTGTTTTTTTCTCTCTGCTTTTATTCCGAAACAACACATCCCGGCGCCTCCGAATTCACCGGAAAGTTCGTTCTCCGTGTAGCCCTCAAATCCCTCAGTGCCCCCAATTCGCTCCTCAGATCCCTAGCCCTGGCTCCCCGCAACCCGTCGCGGTTGTCCAATGCTCTCTAGTGGACTGCCGGCCCGAACTCACGACCTAAGATCCCCGTCTTCACGGCCGACACCTCGGACCTGAGCTCGCTCGCCTGCATCGCTTCCCAGGCGAGGATCGTGTTGAACTGCGTCGGCCTGTTCCGTTTCCAAGGATGACGATTCCCCTGCTGGTAATTTGATGATCAGTTGTACCATTTCCGTTTTTATTTTTTAAATGGGGTGCTTGATTTCCTTCAATTGGTTGGGTGATTTTGTGGAAATTAGTAATTTTGAACTTTTTTCTGTTTCTCATTTTTCTATTAAGGTTGTTCGAACTCGAAACCTTCTTCAATCTTTTTGGCATATCCTTCAAGATCATATTTCTATACGAATCGCGAAGGTTCCCGTGGAATTTTCGGGGTTATTATTGTTAATTTTTTTTGGGTTCATATTTATCTATTTTTGGGTGTTTTTTCTGATAGTAATCGTTCAAAAAGATCTCATCATTGTTGATGATGGATGCATTTTTTCTCTGTTAGGTATGTAAATGTCCAATTTTGGGTGAGCCCTTTTCGTATTTTGGTCATAATTGTTTTTATATTTCTTGAAAGGAGTTATATTGTTGTATTGTTGTTACTTCACTGATATTTTAATGTTTACATATAATTGTTTTTATGTTGCTTCAAATGAGTTATATTGTTGTACTGGACGCCGTCGTCGCCTTCATCTGACGGCGGGGATCTCGCCGTCCACCAATTGATCCTGGGTCCGCACACATCCGATGATTTCCCTAATTTCTCATGCTCGCTGACGCCGATCTCTCGAGAGATCCCTCCTCCACCATCGTAGTTGATCCTATTAAACCGTCCCCAAGGTATGAAGTTGAATAATTATGTGTATCTTGGATTTGCTGATTTTATGTCATGGTTGCTGTGTTTTGAATGTTTGATAAAAACACTGAATGAATGCCAGTGTTTTCGTATGTGTAATTACTGTTTTTTTTTTATATTTTTAGTGGTATGTTAAAGTCTTTGTATGTTCTTGGTTTATAATTTAATGGTGCTTTGGACAAAGCAAATGCAATTTTGAGTCTAATCCAAAATTGTTAATTTTTGTTTGTTAATATAAAGTTGTTTTCATGTTGTTTTACTGATGCTATAATGTTGTTTTGTTGTTTCTTATTTTGTACGTTTTTCATAATATATATTATTAATTTTGTAAGTTACAAAATAAATATTTGTGTTTCTTTTTAGTTAATTTTATTAATTGTTATGTATTTGTATAATTAGCTGATCATTTTTATTGTTATTTTTTTGGTGTTGCAATTCTTAGGCTTCATTTTGAAAAGAAGAAGAAACAGAAGAAGAGAAGGGACACGTGAAAGAGATGAAGAAGAAAAAGGATAGAAGAAAAGGGAGAAGAGATGGAAACGTGAAAAGAATAATAAGAGAGAGAAGGAAGAAAGAGATAAAAGTGAATGAGAGAGAATAATTAATTATTAGGTTGATTGTGGAATTAGTTTTTTGTAACTTCCCATTCCCATTGTAACCGTTTATAAAAGTAATTTTGGAATTCTCCCAAAGAAGTATTTTTTTGGAAATGATTTTTAATAGGTGGTTATTTATGTCTTTAGCCTTTAAATTACCTTCTTCGAGTTTGAAAAATATCCAAATTTATATGGATGGTTTAAATTATTTTTGTCAGGTAAAATTGTCATAAATCATATATATATGATTTTTTTTATGAGATAGGATAAATTCTAGATGACCTATTTGAATTTTTATAAAATTTAAAACAAAATCACACAATTCATTGTGCACATCGGATAGCAATTGTATAGATTTGGTCAAGATTTTGTTTCACTAATATGTAGAACATATTAATGGCATTTTAACATTTATCCACAAATTCGAAAACCATTTATTAGAATTTTCAAAGTACAAGATTCTTAATGGCATTTGAATATTTATCCAGATATTCGAAAATCATTTATTAGAATTTTCAAAGTACACGATTCTTAATGGCATTTGAACATTTATCCACATAAATATTTTTGCAACCTTTAATTAGTTTTGACATTATCACATTTATCACATTTATCACATCAAATATTTGTTTTGACATTATCACATCAAATATTTGTTTTGACATTTACACGATTTTTGCAACATTTATCACATCAAATATTTGTTTTGACATTATCACCTAACCTATTATCACAACTACTGTTTAATATATCTCAAAAATATAAATATATATNCAACTACTGTTTAATATATCTCAAAAATAAAAATATCTATATATATATATATATAGATATAAATATTTTTATTTACTTGAAATATAGGCTAAAATCCCGCCTAAATTTTTTAAAATTATTAGACTTGGCAATTTCTTTTGACAAAATTCGAAAAATCCCGGCCAATAGAGCTTTAATTTCGAATTTCAAAAATATTTTGATTTTATTTTAGGGTAATTTTAAATTTATTAGGGAAACATATTTACCTATCAATTTCAATATAAATAAAGATCATCCGTTAATAAATATCACAACCACAACATTCAATATCCATTCCAATTAATATCACTTAGCCGCAACATCCATATATAAAATTGAAAACAGATATTCTCATTAATTTTGATCCCAAATTTCTATCCCCAAGATTTTTATTTTTCATTTTCAAAATTGTTATATTAAAAAAGTCAAAGTGATAATTAATAATGACGCTGAAATAAAAATATACAATTTATGCTAGAGGCTTATACATCGGTGCAATGTAAATTTTATGCCTAACAAACCGATTTGATTCAACCAAAATTGTTATTGTGTTAAAAAAAACAATGTTCATTGCTACAAAAACTTGAAAATTTCGAGTTAGATTGATTTAGCTGGTATGACTATATTTTAAAGCTTGATATTTTTTTTTGGTTGTTATTAATTCTTCTATATATGATATAATATTGATTTAATATTCACACTTCACATATATATAAATTACTAATTTACTATGTTATTTAAATATGTTTATGAATCAAGCCAATCTATCTATCTATAGATATAAAAGTTTGTATTTACTTAAAATATAAGATAACGTCCCGCCTAACAATTTTAACATTACTAAATTTGGTGATTTAAAAAAAATTCAAAAAATCCCTCCTCTAGAAATTAATTAATCATTTATAGTATAAAGTTGGCAATATTAATAAATCCGGTTTGATATAAAGTGACCGATTTCATTTGAGGTATTTGATGGTCATTTTTTAGTTTTGATAAGAAATGTGTTGTTATTAATAGATATCCAAATTTATGGTATAAAGTGGGTGATTTTATTTTTGCATGAAATGTCTTAATTTAAATGGTATTAAATTTATTTAGTATGGATATAAGTGTATTTAGAAATTTTGAAAATAAAAAAAGGTGGTATGAACTTTATTTGTTATGGGTATGAAAATCAAATTTTATCATAATCTCATAATAACTTGCCATAAGATATTTGTGATAATTCGAAAAATTGGTATGTATTCCTCCTGAAAATCAGAAAGATCTTCGAATAAATATTGATTAATGAAATTTAAAATTTATAATTTAATTATAGAAAATTAGTTGATAAATTTGAAAGATAAGATAACCGACAACAATTCTAGAAACTTGTGAGATAATATGTATATGTGTGTATGAAAGGTATAAAGGAATTTATTGTGTAGTCCAAATTTGGGTCCAACTTCAAAAGTCAAATAACTAATTATTTATAACTTACGGGTCAATATTAACTTGGACGTAAATGGAATAGTCAATTATTTAAGTTTAATAAATTACTCAACTACTTAATTTTCTTATGTGGATAGTTTATACAAAAATAAACTTATTGTAAATAATAAAACAATATAAGTTTTATAATTATACTTAATATATATGTACATAGATTTTTAAATATATGATAAATTTTTATCAAAATATTTATTTTATGGAATTACATTGTAGCAAATCAAATTTCTGAATAAAAGTTTTAAAATGACAGTTATTTTGAAATGAATATAATATAATTTATTATCAGTTACGTGCACCGTACAGTTGTGTGTTAATTTTAAATAGACATTTTTTATGTATTTTTTCACAATTTAAATTTCATATAACATTTTCAATAAATTAATATATGTAAATTATATTACATATTGATTCCATATTTTTAATTTATAAATATTATTTAATAAATATTTTTAATTTATGAATATCAATACATATATCTATTGGAAACAGTAAAATGGGCATCACAATTTTTGAATTACCCTAAAATAAAATCAAAATATTCTTGAATACTATCAAGTGTTCTGGAACACCGAATCATGAGTTGAATTTAAAGGTTGGAACTCCAGTTATGTTGTTGCGGAACATGAATCACTCAATGGGACTCTACAATAGTACACGATTGGTTGTGACTAAACTCTCCAATCATGTTCTCGAGTGTAAAATTCTTATTGGCGATCATGCAGGTGATAAAGTTTTGATTCCTCGAATGACCACAACTCCTTCGGATGTTAGAGTACCATTCAAATTCCAAAGAAGGCAGTTCCCCACTATGATTTCGTATGCAATGACTATAAACAAGAGCCAAGGTCAATCCTTATCTCATGTTGGCTTATTTTTGAAGAAACAAATTTTTAGTCATGGCCAGTTATATGTCGCTGCCTCCCGTGTTACTAATAGAAATGGTCTTAAAATTTTAATTTTTGGAGAAGAAGATTTGAAAGCAAATCAAACCGATAATTTTGTGTACAGAGAAGTGTTTAATAATATATGATTTTTTATTTATTTATTTTTTTTTTGTGTACTTTGTATTTTTCTCTCTTTTTTTTCCTATTACAATCAAATTATTAATTTATAAACAAAAATATTAAATAAAGTTTAGACAAAAAGATTTGAGGAAATAACCCCACTGTACTGCGCACCGGTACTACACTATATTTCCCAAAATGAATATAGTTCGTGCATCGCACGGGTTACGTACTAGTTGGCTATAAAGTGTATAGTATATTGCATATTAATATATACTAGTACATTACCCTTATATTACACAGGTGTTGAATTAGAAAGCTTTTGGAAAAAATATTAAATTTTTTATTTTTTAAAAACTAAAATAATTTAATTCTATATAAAACATTACTTTGGGTTTTAATTAAATTGTCAATTATATTTTTTTAATCATAATAATTAAACATCCCTACATTAAATGAAAATGTCAACCCATGTTGATTTTTTTTTTTACTTATATTATATAAAAATATCGATATTATTTACTATCTTAAATAAATAGAAATAACATGGTGATATGTATATGCATAAGTGTAGAATATGTTTATTTAATATTAAACAAAATAGATTAATTTTTTTTACTTAATTAGATGTCTAATACATCAAGTGTTGTATCAATCGTGTTTTACAATTTTTTAACTTTATATGTAATTTTAGAATTTATATAAATAATTATTTATTTTTATTACATTGATAACATACCAATTAGATTTGAAATAAATATCATTTTTAAATACATACCAATTTCTTTTACTTTATAATATAATTTGTAATTGTATTTGATATAATTTAATTTAGTTTGATAAATAAATTTAAATTTTATTTATAAGGATATATATATTATGTTTTGTATTTTCTATATATATATATATAAATAAATAATAAAATACAAACGGACTTCATAATATCAATTGAAACGCAACACATTAATTACGATTTTTTTTCTTGACAATATTAACTCTATGTAATAGATGTTATGGGAAACGATGGAGATGGATATGAAGAATACATACTAATTTCTATTACCTTATAATATAATTTATAGTTTTATTTGATATAATTTAATGTGGTTTGATAAATAAATTTAAATTTTATTTATAAGGATATATATTACTGTTTTCTATTTTATATATACATAAATAGTAAAATACAAACGGACTTCATAATATCAATTGAAATGCAAACACTAATTATGATTTTTTTTTCTTGACAATATTAACCCTATTTAATAGATGCTATGGGAAACGATGAAGATGGATATGAAGAGACACTGTGTATTAGGTTATAAATAGAAAAATATGAACAAAATATCTAAAACAACATTTATTTTATCAATGATCAATTAAGCCAAAGTGACAAATAATAAAAATAGGAGGGAGTATATATTATATATTTTAGTATGACACATGTTACTTGTTCGAATTATATGTGTTATATTATAATAAATTTTCTACCTTGTAACATATAACTACATTAAACATAAATATATTAACTGATAACTAATTTTATTTTTTAATTAATTTTAATAAATAATTTTATTATTATTATAAAAATAAATATTATTTATTTATTTTGTATATACAATATGGATGTCAAATCGAAGCTCATAAAAAAAATGATTAATTTGATATATTATATTTGTAAAACCGATAAGAAATACAAAAGTTATCAACTTTTAAAATATATTTGCAATTCATTGGTTATATTAGGAAATGATATTAAAATACAATTAATAAAAATATTAATTTATATTCAAGCCTAACTCCAAAGCATGATTTTTTGCCAAATAGGATTCCGAAGCATGAGAGTTTGCCACGTAGGCTCAACGCATTCTGAAGTTATATATAGAGGGGATTTTTTAATGCTTCGGTTCGGTTTTACCATACTTTTTTGGGTTCGAAACCGATACCGAACCGCTATCTTATCGGTAACTGATTGTCGGTTACCGTATTTCCTTTGTAATATTTAAAAGTCTAAACTGAAGATCAAAATATTTTTATGAAGTGAGCATGCAACCACCAAACCGATTATCAACGACTTACGTATAGTATAGGTGATTATATCAAAGGTAGTGGAGAGGGAGTCTACATTGTAAAATCTTTGAGTAATAGTTGTAAGTAGTGACATCTATATTAATAAAAGGGTTCCTAAGAGATAGCGGGATGCTCTCCTGAAGATTCATGTCTTGTAGAATATTGCTTCCGCATATGTATGAATGTACATCTATGTTTACTGATTTGTTCGTTTAGCGCAATTCTGGTATATTGATTATATTCCCCACAACTTTAAGATCTCTCGGCAATAGGTTTCTCGGAGACGGTTCAGTTTATTTTCTCGTTTCGGTTCAATTCGATTCGGTCCGATTTCATGGGAAAACATTCCAGCCCTATTAATAAAGCCCATAAGATCACCTAACAGCTAAAATTGAAAAACTTGAGCGCAACGTACAACTCGCACTCTCCCACTGAAATTACACTCCGCCTGTACGGTTGTACCCAGAGACCAAAAGAGGTTTTAACGAAATCAAAACCCTTGCGGAGAGAGACTGAAGAGAGGAAGTCGAAGATGGAGGGTGTTTCGTACCAGAGGTTCCCGAAGATCAAAATCCGCACGGTTAGGGACGACTTCATGAAGTTCGAGCTGCGCGAAACCGACCCCAGTATCGCCAACGCCCTCCGCCGCGTCATGATCGCCGAGGTCCCCACTATCGCCATCGATTTGGTCGAAATCGAGGTCAACTCCTCCGTCCTCAACGATGAGTTCATCGCCCACCGGCTGGGGCTTATTCCCCTCACAAGCGAGCGCGCAATGGCCATGCGCTTCTCGCGCGACTGTGACGCCTGCGACGGAGACGGCCAGTGCGAGTACTGCTCCGTCGAGTTCCATCTGCGCGCCAAATGCATCAACGACCAGACGCTTGATGTTACCTCTAAGGACCTCTACAGCTCCGACCACACGGTTGTTCCAGTTGATTTCTCTGATTCCTCGTCCGGGGTTGATAACGCTGATAATAGGTAATTCATATTCTTTTAATTTGTGTTGCTTATGCGTGGTTGTTATGAGTGTTTTACTCGAGGGTGGTGGAGAGTTTTCTCAATTGATATTTTCTGGTTGGTCTGGGACATTAAGCTAGGTAGGGATTTGGGAGTCAATTGTCATGAATCATTAGAAACTATTTGATCCTAAAATGATTTGGCAATGTGGAAGATTCTGTAAAGGCAGGAACCAGACAATTCAACTTTCGCATTAGGGATTTTGGGGAAGGGTAGTTAATTTGGGCAGGGGCCGTGGAAAAATGTCATATTTTAGGATATAATAGAAAGTGAAGTAAATAAGATTGCTTGGCTTATTCTTTTTTAATTTGGCAATGTTTCTTTCTGTCCCATGTTACGATGTTGAAAATGCTCTGTAACAGTTCTAACGCATCAAAGAAGCAAGGTTGATTTTGAACTCTGTGTCTCTAGTTGGCTACTTTCTAGCTGAGTTGATTGAACTAACTTGAACTGTATATGCAATCATGGAGAGTTAAATAGGGGATTAAATGATCAATCTAAGAAGGAAGTGGAAGATAGGAACTTAGTTTTGCTGTTTCTTTTAAAAAGAATTGGAAAAGCTGAGGTGATACAATTAAAGAGAATTATGAAGGGAAGTAAATAAGGTGTATCATCATGTTTGCATATTTAATGTTAGGTTTTAGTAACACGGTCATTTCAGTTATTGCATTATAAAGAGAAGATATTTCATATGTCATTATTTAATTTAATGATATGATACATGATGTAGGGGAATCATCATTGTTAAGCTACGCCGTGGTCAGGAGCTGAACTTACGAGCCATAGCTCGGAAAGGAATTGGCAAAGATCATGCAAAATGGTCACCTGCTGCAACTGTCACTTTCATGTATGAGCCTGAGATTTATATCAATGAAGAGCTGATGGAAACCTTAACACTGGAGGAGAAAAAGGAATTTGTCGAAAGCAGCCCGACAAAAGTGTTCGAGATTAATCCCAACACCCAACAGGTTTCCGCACGAGTTTATTAAATGTATCAGGCACATTATTGAGTCATAATATATCAATGTTCCTAAGAAAATCCCACGATTGTGATACAGAGTGAACAAAAAATTAAAAACAAATTGATATGTCATAGGCTTTATAGCCGGTGTGTGCTTTGTGTTTATCTGAATGTGATTCATGTCATATTATTTGATTTATGTATAATTTCCCGCTTCAATTTTATTTCATTCCGCCCCCTTTTTAGGTTTATGTTCATGATGCCGAGGCATATACGTATGATGATGAGGTGCTGAAGAAAGCTGAGGCCATGGGAAAACCAGGTCTGGTTGAAATCCACGCAAAGGAAGATAGCTTCATTTTCACGGTTGAGACAACTGGCGCAATCAAGGCATCTCAGCTGTTGATCAATGCCATAGAGGTATTGAAGCAGAAATTGGATGCTGTCCGTTTATCTGCTGACACAGTTGAAGCTGATGAGCAGTTTGGGGAGTTGGGAGCTCACATGCGTGGCGGTTGATTTGTGTTTTTGGCAGTTTGCTCATGCATGTGATGTTTTACTTTTTAACTTTAACTTGGTATGAAAACTGATCTTATGTTCTGTAAGTTAGTGTTGGAGTTTATGTTCCTTGCTGGACATGCAAAGTCAACTGTAAGTGTTTCTGCAAATGTGGGAGGATGACTGGTTTTGATAGTTCTGAAACTAGGTAATGGCTAAACCTGGACTTTAAGATGTCGAGAGGTTGCATCATATTTTGTTTTGGACCAAATGAAGATCGTATATTATTGTAGGTGGTGTCCAGGTTGTGCTTGAAATTGTAGTTGTCCAGGTTGTGCTTGTGATCAAATTACAACTTGGGGTAACTTGCAATGTCCTTTTATCTTGCAAAATTGGAAAATCTCTTTTGATGCATTCTGGCACTTTATGCTTATAGTTTAGTTCATTGGAAATTTTAAATTGTTTTGAAAAATTCACATATGTTTGTGTGTCGATGAAAGAATGTTGAGGGTTCTTGAATCTTCGAACATATCCAATTCCCTAGAGTCTCCATGGATGATTGTTCCTGTGAGCCTACTGTGATTATTCATGATTCCAGTTTGTCAATTATTGTTTACAAATGCATATTTTTTTCTGCATTTTGAAACACAACGCTTCAAATTGGATTTGGGATTGGAGTTTTACCCGATGGTGCATGTCAGTTTTGGCTATTTTTATTTGTCTCTCTACTCACTGATCTAGCTTTACTATGGCTTTTGCTATATGGCTTCTATTACATTTTGCCACTTAATTGAGCTTCTGGAACTTTAGAGAGACACAAACTCACATTTATTCGTAGTTCATACTTCATACTCTCTATTGCCAAACAATTTCTGATCGTCCAAAAAAAACACACACACGACTGACTCTGGAGAGTTGCTCATTTTCAACTACACACTCACAATCCTATCTTCTTTTGTTCAACCTCAGTTCTTTCAGAAGCGACTCCAAATCATTATAACTCGAACCCCCTTTCTCTACAGCCTTCCTCGCCTCATCACTCAACACCTTCACCCTCCTCCTCATCTCCTCACCTTCTTCTCCAACCATCACTCTATTTACAGCCACAGCTATATTCTCCCCTTTAATCAAACCCCGCTCGACATCCGTCCTCTGACTCCACTCCACGCTCCCCACACGAGCCCCAATCCTCAAAACCTCCGTCACAAGCTTCTCGTTATCAAACTGCTCCGAGGAGATGGGCCACGTGATCATCGGCTTGCCAGCACACACGCTCTCCATAACCGAGTTCCACCCGCAGTGCGTGAGAAACCCTCCCACGGCCTCGTGCTCGAGAATCAAGACTTGTGGGGCCCACCCCTTGATCACCAGCCCCTTCTCCTCTCCTACCCACCCCTTCCCCTCTCCCTCTTTCACGACCCATAAGAAACTCCTCCCGCACGACTCTAACCCGGCCGCCATCTCCCGAACCTGCGCTTCCGAGAAAAACGAGATGGTCCCAAAGCAGACGTAAACGACCGAGTTCGGCTCTCTCGTGTCGAGCCAATCCAAACAGTCCCTTGCGCTCTTACCGCCGCCTCTCAGCGCTTTATCCGCGCCGTCTCTGTTGCAGAGGGAGACGGGGCCCACGTGCCATGCCCGCTTGTTGACCGTGCGCTTGTAGTGGTCAACATAAGCCGGCTCGAGTTCCCGGAAGCTATTCACGACGACCCCGAAGCTCGTACCCTCCTTCTTGGTCGAGTCTTTCACGTGTTTGCCGGCGGGATTTTGCCCTCGCAGATAGTCTGGCAGCTGCAGTTTGGTCATCCGCACGGCGTCCGGGAGTCCCGGGACCACGAATTCGTCCGAGTCTGGCGTGTGCCGGATCAAGCTGTGATACACGCAGAGCGGAAAGAATCCGGCTCCGTGAAAAACGAGCCGAGGGATCCGAAGATCGGCCGCTACCTCGTCGGCCCACGAGAAGAAAAAGTCGGAGACGAGGCAGTCGGGCGAGTCCTGTCGCAGGACGAGCTCGACCGCGTGCCTGAGGAGCCCGAGTGCTTTGATGAACTTGGCGGACATGTGTGGGGATGTGACGGAGGAGAGGCTCTCGCAGCCGTCCGGGAGGCCGGCTTGTGGGCCCGGAAATGGGATTTCGATGATGTCGATGTTTAGTCCTTTTTGTCGCTCACGCTCGACCGTGGCTCGGAAGTTGGGCGCGTTGAGGTGGGTGAGGAGGATGGTCGACTTTACGCGGAGGTCGTGCCGAGCGAACTGGCGAGCCATGTCGACTAGAGGGATCATGTGGCCGGGGGCCATCATGGGGAGGAAGTATATGTGGAGATCGTCACTCATGATTTGATTGCTTGAATTGGTACTAGAGATAGATTAAGAGAGATTTGTGCGGAGGAATGGGATTTCTTTGAGATGGTGCAGTGATCTCTTGAGCAGAGAGAGAGAGGATGCTATATGCAGATTGCAGAGGCTTTGAGTTATGATGACAGCTAAAATATTCCGTCCACTTGATATATAAAATTATTTCAATGTCTGTATGATGACTTTCTTTGAAGGGGACTATTTGGCACCTTTCTTCACAATATTTGTTGGCAGCCTCTATTATTTAGCTATTGTTTATTTTTTATGGTACTTGGGGCGCAAGGATGCGGTTCGATTCGTCTTGTTGATTATTGCTCAAAGTTTCAACTGTTTTAGGCTTTAAGTCACGTCAACTAATAGTATTAACCACAAACAAAACATTTCTCTCATTCTTATCATTTTATTTATACACTTGAAAAAAGAAAGACACAACACATGTGCATTGTACACTACCAATATTTGGCCATTCGTGATTCATAAGACAAGAACAACAAATAAGTAGCTAAATATGCAGGAGAAATTCCTCAATCTCCAACATATCCATTCGACATTCTAGCTAGCACTCGTGACACCTTTTAGGGGACAACTATACGTACTCAAATCTCGAATCAAAGTATCCATATCATCATACGACGACCCTCCTTCTTCCACGGCCTTAATAGCCAACTCCTTATAATATTTCACTCGGCTTCTCATCTCCGACCCCAACTCCCCCTCCATCACAATCCCCACCGCTCTCGCCAATGCCCCACTCTTCACACCCTCACTACCCACCCTCCGCCACGTCACATTCCCCACTTTAACCCCGACTCGCAAGACCTCCGTCACCAACTTCTCGTTGAAAAACTGCTCCGCAAAAAGCGGCCATGTCACCATTGGGACACCCGCGAAAACACCCTCCAGAGTCGAGTTCCACCCGCAGTGCGTCACGAAAGCGCCCGTGGCCTCGTGTTCGAGGATGGCCACTTGTGGGGCCCATCCCCTTATGATGAGGCCCTTATTGCCACGTGTACTTCTCTCGAGAAAACCCTCGGGGAAGAGCTCGTCATTGTCATTGTTTTCGCCTTTCGTTCGAACCACCCATATGAAATCGTGCCCAGAGGTCTCGAGTCCGTACGCGATTTCGTGCAGTTGGGATTGGGAGAAATCGACCATGCTCCCGAAACAAACGTACACGACTGAGTTGGGCTTCTTCGTGTCCAACCAACCCAAGCATTCGTGCGCGTCGATCGATGATTTCGTTCCTTTTTTTTTTTTGTTTCGTTGTCAAGTACAATTTCATATCATTAGACTTGTTAGAATAATTTGGTCAAATATAGGGAATATGGTTTGAATTTGGGTACTCTAGTTCTCTAACATCATCTACTTTAAGTTGGGGAGAGTGATATGAATATAAAATATAATAGAAATTATCATGTGGTACATCTGTAAATGTAAATGCAGATAAAACAAATGTAGAGGACCAAGTTCAGTATATTTTCCTTTTAGAATTACAAGTACTATGTTTGTATTTTCATAACATATGACCGTTTTCAGGAGATTGTGTCTAAACAATATATATAAAAAAAAAAGGAAGAGACTACAATCACGTTACGGAACCATTTCGTTGGGGTTTTTATCCGTCAGATATACACATAGATTTGTATATATGACGGATAATACAAATCCAACAGTAGTAATTAACTAATTGTATAAATTATTTGTGATGTTTTTGAATCAATTAATGCTTTATTACCCTTGTCTCCTTTGTTGTACAAAAGAAGTGGGCCTATGTTCCAAGCCTTTCTCCCCAAAACTCCCTTGTAATAAGAGGCATACTCCGGCTCGAGCTCGTAAAAGCTATTAACCACAACTCCATAGCTCTCCCAATCTGAGTCCCTCACTCGCTGCATAACTCGGCTAAACTCGTCCTCTAACAGATGATCCGATACTTGTGTTCTAACAAACTTGAGCTCATGCGGGAGATTAGGCACAACAAACTCTTTCGAAATCAATGAGACTTTATCAAAAGGCCTGTCACGGCTCATTATCTCCGTACAACATAGAGACAAGTAGCTTATCCCGTGAAAGACTAATCTCGGGATTTTGAATTTGGCGGCGCAGTTTGTGGTGCACGGTAAAAACATGTCCGAAATGAGACAGCTCGGATTTAGTTCTCGAATAAGATGTTCGAGAGGCTCATGGAGTAAATCCAAGGCTTCGAAAAATTTGTGGACTAGATCATCCGAGGTGACTTGGTCCATGCTCACGCTTTGGTTCGGCAATTCGGAATTTTTTGGCGGGAAGTCAATTATTTCGAGATTAATGTCGAATCCCGAGCTTTGGGCAATTCGTATTGGTTGGGCGAATGCAGGGGTTGAGATTATGGTGGTTTTTAGGCCCCTCGAGACGAAGAGTTTGGCCATGTCTAGTGTGGGGATCATATGGCCATGAGCTACCATTGGAATCAAGAAAATGTGGAGATGGCTACGTATAAAGAACAAAAGTCAGGATAATTGTGGCTGTAATGGCAACAGATTGTGCCAAATTTCAAATGTGGAAAGGCCCAAAAAGTCAAAAACTACTCAACAGGTCACGCGACGAAATTAACCAAAAAAATAAATAAAGCATATATCAACGGACAAGTCCAAAACAAAGGAAGAAACAATATATTCACCACGTGTTTCGCTATGGAAAGAACTGACAATTGAGTTGCAAAAGATTATATAAGCTCATTCCACACGGATGTAAAGAGCACCGGACAAATCATGGAAATCGCCAATATCAAGTTCACATTCAAATTTTACACTCATACACGAGTTCTCATTACAACAGCTGTAAGGGCGACAAAAAGAAATGAAAAATATATTTCTATTCATCTTCAGTCTCGAACAAATTACTACAATCTAATTTTCAACACAAATAAAAATGAACCCTACCTTTAGATAGATGTCGAGCTGCCATTGACTTACTTCTATGGCAATTGGATAGGAAGTCTGGTCACGTATTTTCGGTGGCTTGCTTTATCTGTAGAGCACCTCTAACAATATCACCCCTTGTAATGATTCCAATCTATCACATAGCAAATAGAAAACATCCACACATTAGCTTTCTATTGGTAATTGAATCACATATACTAATGCAAGAAAGAATACAGAAATCATTCTACCAGCTTTCCTTCTCCATCAACAACAGGCAGACGTCGATACTTTGTTTTAAGCAATAACCTACACCAGCATCATCAATTTCTGAGATAGTGCTCTTAAGAAAAATTGATAAGGCAGTTTGTTTACACCAGAACTCAAATGGTAACACAAATTAATTTGAGAAGCAAACCATCAGTAATAACATAAGGTTAGACAATAAAAGATTTTTTTTCAATTCAACAATATTTAATTTCTACCAAACTTGGATGTGTCCAGAGCATGTATATGAAGCAGAAGACTCCAAAAACAACAATTACTGGGGCTAGCTATACATGCGTAGCCTTAATCTTATATGAAAATGAAAGTCAAAACTAGCCTACATCATATTTACTGATCTGCATAACTTGCTCGACAAATGGTAAGGCAGGCAACTAACGTGCAGTCCCGATAGAATGGAATTCAGAACAGTTACTTATAGCTGCTATCCAAGAACCTACACCGCCCATGATTTGGAGTGTCAAGTGTGTTTTTATCTTTTCAGCGGGAAATGTTTTTAGCAATTTTTAAAACCCGTAGGTTTCAATCATACCAAAGTAACAGAGTAAAATGATGGTAATAAGATGGTTCTAATTTGGGAACATAAAATTATATAATCCAATTGGAAGAGTTGAGAACTACTAATACCTCACAGCATCCTCAAGATTGGTGTTTTCCCGTACAACTAGTGGTGAAGGAGTCATAAGATCACCTACAACCTTCCCATTAGTTTTGCTGAGTAACTTCTGTATTTCATTAAATGTCTGCATGGACGAAAATATTAGAAACTGATTGAGGTATTAATCCAATCAACTTAAATGATTTAACAGAATCACTTTCAAGTTGATATTCGCTTCATGTGGTGCTTTTTCTTTGTTTACCAAATAGATTGATAAGTGGATTCTCAAAGCAACGCTGGTGGCACGTGCAAAAACCAACAAGCATACAAACTAGCGTCTTTTCAGATAAAATAAGAAATAGAAGCACTACTACTTAATCTAATCTGATTCGAAGACCAACTGAAGCATTTAATCCTACTGCAACTAAATAAACTACTTAAAATCATATCTGATATACATTTTTTTCTTTGCCTCTGAGTGAGTAATTTGGAAGGTGATATTTGTTGAGAATGTGTGGAAAAATTAACAAGAAATTTTTTCTTAAAAAGAGGAGAAAAAGAAAAACAGATAATAGCACATTCTTCAGTTCTCTTAAATCTGAGATAAATGCAGGAGGAAAGCTGAAAACTACTCTGCACACGATTTATGCATCTGGAGATTCAGTCAGCAATTTTTCGACAAAAAATCATGTAATGAATGCTAATAAGAAGAGGTGTCCACAATAGAAGGCATGATATGTTTCCATCTTTCAATAAATGGATATATATATACAGAACACAGGGAAAAAATAGATGATACATACTTTCCAAGTGCTATCAACAACCGGGAACAAGTTTGTATCTTGTTGAGCCCCACCTATGTTTGTGAGATGGAAAAATAACATAATTAAACATAAATGCTTGAATACAATACTTTCAACCCCAAGCACCGAAAGAAAAAAAAAAAAAAAAATAGAAGCAATGGAACATTTTTATAAGTATGACAAAGAAACATATTATACATGGATCCATCAACTCCTAGCAGTTAGTATGAAAATAAAAGATAATGTATTATACCTAGTTATTTGCATAGTTTCATTCGGCAAAAATCACTAAAATATAAAATTTACACATTGCTGACCATGGAATTTAATAAACATGTTCCATATCCCAAATTACTTACTAGGATGATGAAACAATAACCAATGCACATACAAAATAATGCCACTACGCTTTGGTATTGAGTATCCAATTCAAAGATGTTTTATGATTTTTATTGCTAGCATCTCTATTCCTCTGATTTTCCTACATAGTGAGGGAGGAGAGGTTATCCATCAGCGGTTACACAAGTGATGATGACAAGTTCTCGATACTGAACAGCCCTCATCTGTTGGCAGGGGCATAGCTGAGTCACCTGGGCAGGGCTCCAGCAGTCCCAAAAAATGAAACCAAAAAACGATAAAGAAAGTAATAATAATAATAATAAACAGGATTTTTACGTTTTAGTAATAACTTAGACATTATTAAAAAAATTGGTATTATTAAAAAAACAAAACTGATGGGCAATGTAATATCTGAAAGATATCTTTATATTCTGTTTGAATGATTTCATCATATTCAATTAAACAGACCCCAATTTCCTATCATTCTTCTCAAGAATTTCATCGAATGAAGCTCGACCACCCATAGAATCCCATTTTCTGCATTCAAATGGATCCTAAAAGAATTTATTCATTTAAATAAATATTTTTTTTCCGTAGTTTTTATGTTAATATTTGGTAACAATGCTCAACAATAACCCATTTTTTTCCTTAGGCTGTCGTCCCAGCACCCCGCTTCTTTCTTAATTATCTTAATAGCCTGCCCTATATATTCTAGCACTGCCATTGTCTGTAACTTAATATGCCCCATCTCTGTCCCTAGCATTATGCACATTTATTAGGGACACTGTCAAAAATCACAATTGCATATGGACACATATATAGATAAGTTCAAATATCTTTCAAACTAACAAAATACACAATCAATATTTCAAACAGCCCCTCGAAGTTTTCATATTAATCAAGATCCGCCTACTTAATCTCTAAATAGAGACAGATAAGAGAAATTTCTAACTTGGATAGCTAACTGGATTTTTATGTTTATTTACAAAGGGAATGTTTGCCAACCCTTGAAGGAAAGTGACTCTCAGGTTCTTGGTAAAAAAATAACTTTTTCTTGGTTTGGGTATTCGGGACAATCCCTAAATCTTAAAGGTTAGTTTGTATATAGCTGAAAAACATGAAAAACATTTTGGTTCCACTATGTCACTGGTACCTGAGATGGAGTCAAGGGCCAATAAATCATAGTCAGAAACAACACCAACCTGCAGAAACATCCATGCGTTCTGTCAAGACTCAAAAAAGAATGATTACTTATATTCATTACTAGGAAAAAACGCAAAGATAACTGTACATAAAATCAAAACGTTACCAACTTCCCATCATCATCAACCACAGGAAATCCTGTAATTCTTTTCTCTACAAGAGTTTCCAAAGCTGTGCACAAACAATAATCTGTTAAATAACAGGATGAGTTCATAAGGAGCTATTTCAAGAAATTATATGTCAGCAATACCTTCATCAACAGTTGTTGTAGGACCTACAACATGCAAATGCTCTCTTTTCGTCATAAAATCACCTACCGTGTAAACTCCCTCTTGGGTCTGAAAAGTGAAATATAAAATTGAGTCCCTGTGAATGTTAAGACTGTCTAAGATTCATAAATATAATTGTTCCGAAAGTATATTTTGTTCAATTTATAGTTTAAGCCATCTAAATAGTAACATCCACATTAATATTCAAATAAGTAATACATGATTCAAATGTGGAAAATGGTTGAAAAAACTGATTGGATACAAGGCTAAAACGACTTTCTATTGGTGATCCATTTAAATGTAAATCAATCTGAATGTAAGTAACGCTGAAATGAAGCAAGAATTGAACAAGTAAATTAGAAATGGAGATGTCTGGATCATGACTTCACCATGATGCCACTTATCTTGACACCTGATTATGGATTTCAGCTCCATGTGTGATATGCTTTAAGATATACCAAAAGCCTCGAAAGAACAAATATTCTTTCCAGTATAAGAACCGTTAGAAGTAATTATTACATTTCATTCAATAACTTAATCTCTTCTTATCCTAAAACTGCAGGAGGAACAACCCGAATCAGTGTCCCCTTCAGTATATCAACGCATAAATTTCCCTTTTTTTTATAATAGTTTTATGCAACTCTCATTATACCGCTTCTAGCACACGTAAACAAATTACAGCCCGCAGTTATGATGCAAATATCTGTGATATTTAATTCTGTTTTCTTGCAATCTTCAGTGAAGTAGCTCAAGATCCTACAACATAGACAAAGGAGACGGTGATTACTCACCGGAACTGAGTTTCTGGTGTCGGGTGTAGCATACGGAAGAGCTTGAAGCCGCCGGAATTCAGAAAATCGACATCGTCGCCGTTGGTCGGAAGAATAGTAGCTTCTTGTAACTGCTGGAGGTGGAGACGGGAAGCTGCTATAGTATGTGAGGGTGCAGGGTAAGCTGCGGCCATGGAAGGTTGAAATTGCTCCAGAAAGTGGCAAAATGGCTCGAAAATCAGCAAAAGCGGTAGAGTCCATGGGCGCAGCAAGATGCGTGTGAAGAATGAAAAAGGAAGGAACAGCGACTAAATTTGAGAGAGATGTGAAGTGGAAATGAGATATTTTTTCACGGTTTTTCAAACGGTAGAATTGGGTGTGTGGAGAGTACTTCGTTTTACTTTTTTCTCCGTTGAAAGCAAAGCGCCACCGAGGTCGGCGGGCCATTAGAATAAACTAAAGGTAAATAGACATGGCCACGGGCAGGCTCGGACTGCTAGGTCGATCCAAATCGGCCTTGAGCCAGCTCTTGGTAAAAAAACTGTACCCGAGTCTGTAGTTTGACCAGCCGCTTTTGGGTCTTATGTATATAAATTTTTTTGACTCGGCAGCCGGGCCAAAATCAACCCTGGGGTGATCCGTCGTTTTTCCATTATTATTTTTCTTGGATTGGGCCAGGCCGGTCCGAAACCCACTACCCGACCATTGGCTCAGATTTGATTGGGCCTTCGAATGAATTTNTCGGTTTCGAGTCCGAGTTTGACCCGACCCGTCTGGGTCTAACGGGTTCTTTTTTGAATTTGAGAGGGCTGGGTCGGCAAGTAACGGTCAGATTTTCAAATATGACCATTGGATCGTCCTGATCGTTGATCCAACGATCAAGATTTGATCGACCCGTTTGACCCGTCGAGTTGACCTGAACTCGACGGGTCCAGAAATAATAAAAATAAAATAAAAATAAAAATAAAAAATAAATAAAAAAAACCCGAAAAAATCTGAAAAGAATTCTATAAATACCCCCTTCCAAATCAGATTTTCACACCTCTCCCAACAGCTACTTCTCTTCTCTACACATTTCTAAGTCTTGAAGTGCTAGTTGTTTAGTTTTTGTGTTCGGTTTTCTATAAGTCGGTCCAATTATATATAAATTCGGTCTCGAACTCCCGATTCTATATACTAGTGCGTGGCCCATGCGATGCACGGGAAAACAATGTTAGGATTGTATTATAAACTAAATATATAAGTAACATTAATCATGATTTATCTATTGTTTTTAAATTAAACCGGGTTGGACACAGTCCGACCGGATGGACCGAGAACCGGTTTATAACCAATCTAGTTCGCTTAAATAAAATATTTGCTCTCGAATCCGTCAACACCAGTCGGTTGGACTGGTAGGATCGATACGATTTTCTAAATAAATTTTGTTATATTTAAAATTTATTTAACACATTTTATTTAAATTTATTACAAGAAGTAATATATATATATATATTAAAATATTTATAAATTAAAATCTGAAAAAATCACAAATGATTTAATAAAATAGCTTGATTGTTTCGATGACGATACAGTTCTGAAAACCTTATATTTACTCTACATTAATAAATAATATAATAAAATATTATTTAATTTACATAAATATTAATAAAACGATATATTAATATTCATAAATCATTAAACATGTTGTCGCTTTTATTGTTAATACAATTATTTGAAGTTTGGACTACATCACATTCACGTAATAAAATATTTTCAATATAAAAATTTATATTAGGTTCAATAATTGATTTGGTGTGGTCGAACTGATCATAACTTAGTCACTTGGGACCAACCAAGTTGTATCAAGTTTTTTAACTATTTTAAATATCACCTAAAAGTAATTCAATCAACCTGGCCAGTACCCTAATTCAATCACGCGATTGATCTAAAGAAAATTTCTTATTTTATTTAAATATATTTAATTTAATGAAATAACAATATTTTATATTTCATATAATAAATGTCTACACAAAATGATAATATATTAAGATTATAAATTATATATCTAAAGATGAATTAATTATTTTTACTTTATGCATATGAATAAAAAAATAAACATAGTAATTTTCAATAAATTAAGATTAATTGATTGATTATATGCAATTTAAAGAATATTTTTAGCGTTCAATATTTTTTAAAGGCACAAATATAAAGACCGAGATTCTAAAATTTTTGTTATATTTTGAATTGAGATTTTATAAATATAGAGACCGAGATTTTAATGTTGTTCGTTGTTTCTAAAAAAAATAATAAAAATAAAAACATACACACTTAATAAATCTTAGCCGGATTTTTTAAATAATAAAATGAACTAAAGTAAAAAATATAAGGTAGCATTTAATGTTGTATGATTTTTTAAGAAAAAAATAGAAAAAATAATAAAACTTACTATTTATAGGCTGCATTAAATTCTGACCTATTTTTTTGCTACTATTTTTGGTAAATGGTAATTCTTATTATATATATATAGATTCACTCTTATTTCGGTTCTGATTCTATAAATTTTTCTTACATAATACTTTGTCTTTTCTAATTCTATCATTTTTAACTCTCTTTTTTATTTTATAAAAGCTATTCTAGTATTAAAATATCGAGTTCTTGTGGTGGTAGTCGTGCCGGCGATCGGCCTCCACAAAAGAATAAAATCTAGGCGAATCTTGGTCGAGTAGACCTCCATTGCCGACGCCGAGACAAACGGTATATCGGGACATTCTGGGTATTTCCGATGACGTTCCGCCAGAGACGATCCAACACATTTTTCATTGAGAAAATCCACGATAGCATACAATTGGAGGAGGAAAACCAGGAGCAACAGCCTTATGAAGACAAATTTGATCGTATTCAAGGTGGAGGAACTCAACAATCACAACTCATGTCCAGTTGGATTTCTGATTTTTCTGAGAAATTCTGTTGTAACGTAGCTCTTATTGATATACTGATCATATGGAAATAGCTTATTGCTATATGTTGGAGAGGTGTGTGTGGAATTGGGATAATCTGCATATTATGTTTGACCGCGTGTCGCGACGCGGAAAATTTAAATTTATAAATTTTTCCTTAACTAACCTCTACTAACTAGTAGTAGTGACGAGTAAGGGTCGATCCCACGAGGAGCAGGAAATAAATTGTGAGATTATCGTATTAATCAAACTAGAACTATGAAAGCAGTAAATGGGGGGATTGATTTAATAAAAATCAAATAAATAAGAGAAGTCCAGTTTTCGGTTCAGTTATCACTCAATCTCAATCTACCGTTAATTAATTTTGACGCTTTCTCTAGATTGCTAATGAATTACTAACCCTAAATAACAACAAGCTCTGTTAACCGAATTTTTTCTTACCGAATATTTAATCGAAATAGGCTCTTCGACTAAACCTAACTAGTGGACAACCTAGAATAAGCTCTCTAGATTTAATACACTAGCAGCATTACTTTCTAGGAAAATAGGTCAGTCTAAGCAATGGACGCACAAACTCGGACCATTTAACTTATGTTCACGCTACCCTAGAGATGCACGACTCCTAGTTTACTACTAACGAAACGAGACAATAACAATTACGGATTAAAGTCTCGAATCTAGCAATTAAACTATGAATATTTAACGTAGCCAGCCGAACTAAATCAACCACCCATAATTCATAAACAATATACGTAGATAACATGAATCACCTCATCAACAAAAATAAATACGGGCGTCTCGATTAATCAACGATAAATATAAATCCTTAAATCCATAGACAAATTCAAGTTAGGTTCAAACATCCCCTAAAACTGGATAAAAACACTAGCCTACCATACTAATAATGAAATTAATAAAAGATAAAAGAGAGAATAAAGATCTCCCTCGTGTGCAGATGCGGCTTCCTTCCGCGATGCCTCTTTCTCTATCTGTGCGGTCTTCTCCGTGTGTGGGTTATTTTTTTTCTTTTCTTCTCGTAAAATAATGTCTCGCAAATAATTCTCTCGCATCCCTCTGTACGTGCGTGAATGTCCCAGCCAATGTGGAGTCCTCTTTATAAAGTAAATCCTCCTCAAATTAATTGTTCTCCAGCCAATGTCACTCCTTCTAAATCAAAATGCGTGGCCCACAAAACAAATAAATGAGTGCAATGTGAATTCCCCTTTTCCCGTAGAGCTCCCAAGCTAAAAATATTTTGCTTTTCTTTTCTTTTAGCAAACATTACCAGCCCATTAAAATGAAAGTGGGCCTAATTCAAGTATCATTAGCCTAACTCCGATAGTTAATCACGTGAATCCCGTCCAATAATTCGCGTGCACAAATTGCTCCAAAATACTGAAAATAACACATACAACATTACAGAAAATAAATCTATCTAAATAATAAATAGGTCGAAAAATATAAACGTGCGAATAAATTTAGTGTATAAAAATACACTATTAAATATATAAAATGTGCACATTTTTAGACCTATCATATCTCCCCAAACTTAAACCGTTGCTTGTCCCCAAGCAACTTAAAACTAAAAAAGCACATAGATGGATATATATAAGTACGTGGAATTTTCGCTCAGGTTCTCACACTTCTCACGTAGTGCATAGCTACAACTTCTGAAGTTAATAACCCCGAACTTGAAATGAAACCGTCTTTAGAACGCCAACAATCAAATATCAATTCAGTTAATCACCGCAGTTCGCCAATCTCTACACCGAGTATACCAATCATGCAACTAATGATACCCCTTTCTTTGCCAACCGGTTTGGTTCCTATTCGCTTCTAGCCAGAAATCAAAAGTCTCATTTTTTTTTTCTTTCTTTCTTTCCTTCTTTTTTTTTGGGAACGGCAGCTCCGTCACAGTCCATGGTATGTAGCTATTCATGCGAGAGTTTTCACAGACTGGCAGCTGTTGCAGCCCACGATCATTTTTTTTTTCTTTTTTTTTCTTCTTCCTTTTTTTTCTACACTCATTATTCTTTTCCTCCACATTCATTATTCACACTATCATTCTTTTTTTTCTTTTTTTTTCTGAGACAATCAACTCCCAACTTTCCACGTCAAGTCACCTCACACAATCGACATCAAGCAGAATAATCACTAGCACATTTCAAAAATATAAACAGTTCAAGACCAAGTCACTACAAATAAATCACATAAATATCAATCGTCATGTTTTTGTCCCTCAAATAGCAACACTTCAAGAATTTAACCAGAAATCATTAACCCAAGTCATCATAAACTAGCATTTAATGCCAATAAAGGCTCTCACATCATCATTGTGAAATTCCACACACAAGTAACATATACTCAAACAAATTAAGAGAATATATAATAATCTAGCATATAAACATCTCACGCTAACACACCTCCCCAAACTTAGGTTTTGCACATGTATAAGAACAAAATAGGAGGAAAAAGGAAAGAGTT